ATGAGCAAGACAGGAGGATGTATGCAAGAGCCAGAAACCAAGCAAAGATAGAGTGTAGGAGGGCTGAAAAGGAGTTCCAAAGGCTGGTTGCACGCGAGGTCAAGTCAAACCCAAAGGCGTTTTACCGCTATGCAAAGTCGAAATTGAAAACGCGAGTAGGAGTATCAGACCTGAGGCTTGAAGATGGTAGTTACGCAGATTCTGACCAGGATAAAGCTGAGGCATTGAACAGCTTCTTTTCCTCAGTGTTCACAAGAGAGGATGCAACTAACCTTCCTGCGTTTGAGGACAGACGGTTCGACACAGCACTGACCCACATTGTGTTCACAGAAGAGGGTATTAGAAATAAACTGTCCAGGCTAAAGGTCCATAAGAGTCCTGGACCTGACATGGTGCATCCTAGAGTGCTAAGAGAGCTGTGCAACGAGCTTGCAGAGCCCCTGAAGATTCTGTTTTGTAAATGCCTGGATGAACAAATGGTCCCCAGTGAATGGAAAGTGGCTTATGTGAGTCCTATCTTCAAGAAGGGCGATAGTCACTCCACGAACAACTATAGACCAGTGAGCCTGACCAGCATAATATGTAAAGTACTTGAGAGTATTATCAGAGATGCCGCGATGGAACATCTACTACGAAACAACCTTGTAAAAGATTGCCAACACGGTTTTATGCCGGGGCGCTCTTGCTTGACACAATTGCTCAAGGTATTGGATATTTGGACCCATATTCTAGAACGGGGTGGTAATATCGACAATATTTACCTAGATTTTGCCAAGGCTTTCGACAGTGTACCCCACGAAAGGCTGAAAATCAAACTGGAAGGGTACGGAATTCGGGGAAATGTCCTAGCGTGGATAGAAGACTTTCTACATGACCGCAAGCAATGTGTGGTGATTAATGGCACGAAATCGTCATCTGTACCTGTAACAAGTGGGGTACCGCAGGGTAGTGTATTGGGCCCGCTGTTGTTTGTTTGTTTCATAAACGATATGCCTGACGTTGTACACTCCTCCATACAAATGTTTGCCGATGATGGCAAGTTATTTCGGGAAATTAAGAACCAAGCGGACTGTGAAGAGCTGCAGAAGGACCTCTGTGGGCTCCAGGAATGGTCGAAGGAATGGCTGCTGAGATTCAATGTCACGAAGTGTAAGAGGATGCACCTGGGGCGTACCAACGGTAAGGAGGCGTATCATATGTCCCAACGGGATGAAGAAAATGTACTAGTTGAGACTGTGTGTGAGAAGGACCTAGGTGTGTATGTTGACAATGAGCTGAAGTTCTCGGGCCATTGTGAGAAGAAGGTAAATCAGGCAAATAAATTATTGGGTCTTATAAGAAGGTCGTTCAGATATCTAGACGGTCCGTCCCTCGTGACGATCTTCAGGAGTGAAGTGCTTCCCCATCTGGAGTACTGTCACCCCATCTGGTCCCCGAGATATGCTAGGGACTGTCAGTTGGTTGAAAATGTTCAAAGGAGGGCCACCAAACTGGTGCCTGCACTTCGGCACCTCAGCTACCCTGAGAGATTGGAGCGCCTGAACTTGCCTAGCTTATACTACAGACGGGCAAGGGGGGACCTAGTTGAGGTTTATAAGCATCTCAGGGGGCACTACTCAGTTGAGTGTCCTTACTTGGAGCTGGCGGACGCTCGCCCCACAAGGGGTCACAGCTCAAGATTGAAGAAGCCGCAAGTCCAGAAAACCGTGAGGGCAAACTTTTTCGGAGTGAGGGTTGTAAACTCTTGGAACAATCTACCAGAGAGTGTTGTGACGGCACCAAGTGTGAGCTCTTTCAAGAGAAGACTTGACCAACACTGGAGCGGGTTCAGGTACATTCAGGAGCCGGTGCATGCCCATTATTTGCCAACAGTGCGTGACAGAGACGTGACCGATCGCCCGGGCGGCTAGCGAGCCGATCTTTTGGTGAAGAATATAAATGAAAAGAGACGTGACCGATCGCCCAAGCGGCTAACAAGCCGATCAGTGGCGAAGAGGATAAAAGTAAAAGTAAAGTAAAAGTGAAGAGTCTGATTAACCTTTAAACGCTCAGAAGGCGTTTACATAAGGCTGTAAAGCACAATACAGATATCAAATTTGTTCAAAGTATGCTAGTGCCCATATGCAAGCCGTTTTTATATATACTGTAATGAATGTATATTGTTCACTGATTGGGTTTATATATAATTTTTCACTGATTAGGTTTATCTATAAATATTAATGATTTATTTTGCTGCTTAAGTAAAGGTAAAGAAAAATATCAAAGCCAATGGTTTTACTGATAGTTTATTTATTTATTTATTTTTTTTTTTTTGAAGAGGAGGAAATATACCAAAGCTAATGTTCAAACTGATTTTTTTTTCAACCCCTTACAGAAGGGGTTTCCCTTAGATAAATAAAAACTCAGTTTGTGAAAAAGATCTAGGTGTATTTGTTAGCAACGACTTGAAACCTAGAAAACAATGTATTAGCGTTCGCAACAAGGCAAACAGGATTCTTGGGTTCATATCTAGGTCTGTGAGTAACAGAACTGCTGACGTTATCTTGAAACTTTACCTAGCATTAGTGAGGCCACACATGGATTATGCGGTTCAGTTCCCAGGTCTCCATATAGAATGGACATAGATTCTTTGGAGAGTACAAAGAAGAATGACAAAAATGATCCATATTATTAGAAACCTTCCATATGAAGAAAGACTGAAAGCTTAGGGCTTACATTCATTAGAGGCGTAGAGTTAGGGAGATATATGGAGGTGTACAAGGGTAAGGGACAACAAGGGTAAAATGGAAGATGTCTTGAAGTCGCAATAACGAAATAATCCAGAACAAATGGCTTTAAATTAGATAAATTCCGATTCAGAAAGCGATATAGGCAAGCACTGGTTTGGTAATAGAGTTGTGGATATGTGGAATAGGCTACCGAGTGCTATAGTAGGATCGGGGACGCTAGGGAGCTTCAAGACGAAGTTGGATAGGCACATGGAAGTGCTGGGATGGGTGTGAAAGGGATCTGCCCTGTATGGGCCAGTCGGCCTCCTGCAGTATCCCACTTTCTTATGTTCTTATGTGAGTACAACCAGGGAATTTATAATATACTAAAGTTCCCAACATAGTAATAATCAGAAGAGATACTTTTATTAAATAATTTTCCTATTAGGGTTGATAATTATTAAGAAATGCATTACAGGTATACCAAATAAAGCCTGTTCCTGCGCAAAACAGTACGTACACTACTACTACTACCAGTGGCGTAGCTAGAGTGTGTGCCGCCCGGGGCGGCCCTTGAGTTTGCCCCCCCCCGTGCCCCACAAAAAATAATCCCTAATAGACTAATTTTATATATATATATATATATATATATATATATATATATATATATATATATATATATATATATATATATATATACTCTTATATATATATATATATATATATATATATATTAAATAGTTTGTGTACCATTATAATATTACTGTACTTTCACATACTCAAATATAGTATGCTTTAAATACACACCAAACATGCTTAAACTTTATAAGTAACAGTTAAACAAAAAGCAAAAACGACATATAGGATAGGGAAAAAAGTAAAAAAAGTGTAAAAAATTAGGACCATCTTTATTTCTGAAATGAAAACTACAACTTTCTACAAAGTAACTTTTCTTGTTTTTTTGTTGGCAAATTCTTCAATGACATAGTCAAAAACTATTTCATCTGTCAATTGTCGCTCTATAGACAGTATGGCAAGATTTCTCAACCGCAAGGTGCTCAAAGTAGATCTTAAGTAATTCTTGATCAGTTTTAGTTTCGAAAAACTCCTCTCACAGGTAGCAACACTAACAACAATTGTGAGGAAAATCCTCAGCATTATTACTATATTTGGAACCGAGTTCCCAAGGTTATACTTTTGAATAAACTGCAAAAGTTCAAGGGGGCCTTCTTTCCACGTCTGTATTCTGTCTTTAATAGTTATAACAGCAACAGCAACAAAATGCTGAAGTCTTTTTCTCTCAACGAGGAACTCCTCTTTATCAATGTCGTCGTGATCGTGATCTATTTGACACTCATATTTATCATCCAAAAGATTCAATGGGGGTAAGGAAGGCATATTTCTCAGCAAATTCATGAAGCTGTTGAAATCTCAAAAGTTATTTCTTGATCACTGTCCAGCGAAGAAAAACATTTCTCCTCAATTCAATGTCGTATGGCAATTCAGCATCTCGTGATCTCACTTTTGGGGCGGCACTTTTGGTCTGCTCATCACCCATATCTGCAGCTCCTGGAGACGTTAATCCTTCCCTTTGTATCGGCGGCAAGTTAATCCTCGTCGTGTCTGACCTAACACCTGACCCACACCACATGAGCTCACTGGCGTACTTGTTTGAAGTTGTTTCCTTAATCCTCAACAGGTTACAGGTTGTGTGTGTGGCGGGGGGGATGGGGGAAGGGGGCCCATAGCAAGGGTGTAGCTCATGACGTGGCCGTGATGAAGTGGGTCAGGTGTTAGGTCAGACACGACAAGGATTAACTTGCCGCCGATACAAAGGGATGGATTAACGTCTCCAGTAGCTGCAGATATGGGTGATGAGCAGACCCAAAAGTGCCGCCCCCCCAAAAAGTGCCGCCCGGGGCGGACCGCCCCCGCCCCCCCTAGCTACGCTAGTGACTACTACTACAGTATACTATTTTTATACTTGTGCCTGCATGCTAGGGAGAGAGAGAGAGAGAGAGAGAGGTAGTAGTAGTTATAGGTGTTTTTTTTTTGTAAAAGTTTGTAGTTCTTGACAAATAATTATAATGAAATATTTACGAGCAAAATGTGTTTGGGAAATTTTGTTCAATCTGGAAAATCTTTCACATCTGCCTGGGAAATTCCTGGTTTGGCCTTGTGGGAGTCCTGAATTTAACATATTGTCTTTAAATGTGAATTATTATGTGTTAAGCAAAAGTAAAAAAGTGACAGGAGGATAAAATTAACAGAAAACGTAATAGTGATTCGTGAAGGTGCTAGAAGTTACGCGAACAACTGTGAGCGATTGAGCGAAAAATAAACATTATGAGACGTGTGTTGGGCGTAGACTGTGTATAGTGTCATTGGAATTTGAGGAGATTGGTGTTAGGGGATAGACTAACTCTTAATAACGATCAACTATGAATGTTCAAGTAGACTGGTGAGCCATGTTGAAGAAATATTTGAAGTAGAGGTTAGTCATATGGGCTGTCAACCGAAAATATAAGAGAAGTACCCACTTCACTACTGACGACGTCAAAGGTAACCTACAATTCCATGCGTTGTTAGCACACTAATACTTGTAGTGCTCTACACAAAAATCAAGTCACTGTTAGAGATTTACATAGAGGGTTTCTATTTCAATTTTGGATATTTTGGTAAAGATTCGATAGTAATTATAATGGGAAATTAATAACAAAATAGGTTTTTCTTGTTTTTACCAGGAGTTACAATTTAAAAAAAACTTAGCCTCTCTTTTGGGTGGTGATGTATATGATGGAGATACTGTACAATAATGCTTATTAACACAAGTAGACAGGACTTTGACGATAGAGAAATGTGGGATTATAACACTTAAGAGAAAGACCAGTCTTTATCTTTGGTAAAGGTTTCCAAAACTGTTTTCACCCGAAGGAAATGTGCTATTTGCTTTATTTTTTTTTTTTACACACTGTTAGCATGATATTAAACACAGAAATGGAAACGATAATGCATAGAGCCTATTAAAGCCTGACCTAACAAACCCATCCTATTAGGTCAAGTTCTAGGTTCTATGCATTATCTTGTGCATTTGTGTGTTTAATATTATGCCAATGGTGTGTACCAAAAATATAAACCAAATGGCACTAAGCCTAAGAACCTAGGCCGCAGGGGTTTTCAAACTATGGGTCCCGACCCTTCAGTGGGTCGCGAAATAAATAAATTGGGTCGCAAAATAAAAATGGGTCGCGAAAATAAATAAGAAAAAAAAAAAAATTTGTCGCGAAAATAAATGAGAAAATAAAAATAAATGCACCATAATTTAGGCTTGGTTATTGTAATGTACACTCCACAGTCTAGGAAGCGACTGCAAGGAGAGCATTCCTACCTCTCATGTCAGTGTTTGTCTTTGATTTACTCATTTCATATCATTACACTTAGGTTTAATGGGTCGCAATTCAAATTGTTGTTCTGGCTGTGGGTCGCAGTAAAAAAAAGTTTGAAAAACACTGACCTAGGAACTCTTACCTAACCTAACCTCACTTAATTCTAACCTAACATCACTTAACCTAACTCCAAACCTAACCTAACTCAGCATTGCATAACGAAACTATCGTACAATTATCAAGAATGAAAAAAAAATCTTAAATAACTTACCTTATACATTGATTATTTGCACGGCATCTGTGGACAAATTCATAGAAGTGCCTATTATATTGAAACTGGCATTGCTTTTACGTGTAAGTCTCTTTCCACATTTGGGAACATTTACAAGTGATATTAATTAAACCATGGTCACAAATAAGAGCTAACAAACGAGAATCATCAAGAACTAGGCATGATAAATCACGATAAGAATAATCACAACCACCGCAGGCGGGTCCGACTAATTACCCAAATGTACCCAAATGGAGCCAAATATAGCCGGAATGAAGTCAAATAATGGTCCTAGATGAATAAATCGGATTGCCAATCACTTCTCGACTAGTATTTGGTGTCAGAAAGTCACAAAAAATTGGAAAACTTACTTTAATCTGAGTTAATAGATCACGTGCATGTACCGACGGAGCGAGGAATTACCCAAATGTAGTCGCAATGAAGTCAAATAATGGTCCTAGATGAATAAATCAGACTGCCAATCACTTCTCGACTAGTATTTGGTGTCACAAAGTCACAAAAAATTGGTAAACTTAATTTAATCTGAGTTAATAGATCGAGTGCATGTACCTAACCTAACCTAACCTCGACTAGTATTTGGTGTCACGAAGTCAAAAAAAATTGGTAAACTTAATTTAATCTGAGTTAATAGATCAAGTGCATGTACCTAACCTAACCTAATCTAATCTAATCTAACCTAACCTAACACAACACAACTCAGATTAAATTAAGTTTACCAATTTTTTTTGACTTTATGACACCAAATAATAATCGAGAAGTGATTCACAGCCCGAATTACGCTTGTACGACCATCATTTGACTTCATTGCGGCTACATTTGGGTAATTCCTCGCTCCGTCGGTACATGCACGCGATCTATTAACTCAGATTAAAGTAAGTTTTCCAATTTTTTGTGACTTTCTGACACCAAATACTAGTTGAGAAGTGATTAGCAGTCCGATTTATTCATGTAGGACCATTATTTGACTTCATTGCGGCTATATTTGGCTACATTTGGGTAATTAGTCGGACCGCCACAGGCCAACATGATGTAAATGAGATGCTCTAACATGCAATAATCACATCATGTACCCTCCCCTTGGGGGAACCGTAGAAGTGGGAGGACTCACAGTTCATAGAGAATTATGACGAATGTTAACGGTATAGAAGACGATGACGAGAATCCAATCAGTCTAAAAGATCGTGTAAGAGTAGAAATATGGCACTATTACATCACTTATTGCTAGAGGATAAAAACAAAAAGGGAAATACTGTAGATGATAGAAAGAAAACAGAATGCATTAAATAAATAAACAAAAGAAGAATAAAGTGGCATTTACGTAAATGTAAACTTAATAAAGATGCGTAATTAATTTATGAAAAGGATCGGTAATAATGGAACAAAATTTATATACTGTAATTGGAGAGGGAGCGAGCTAAGGCGGCAGGACAGGAATTGTAGAACGGGACTGTCTTACGGTATGACAATGGTTTTTGGCCATTGCTTATAGTCAAGAGAAGTTGTGCACTTTAACAACCTACTTACAGGTACGACATCTGTATGAGAACCAACGATGTTTAATGGTATGGCAGCCTGATGCGCATACGTGGTGGGCAATGTATACCTAACCTAACCAAATCATTAACAACACAGTCTGTGAATACGGCTGCCATACTGTACCTATATCCAGTGTGATTTCTGGCGTACAGCTGCCATACCTATGTACACGAAAAAAATCATTAATTACTTACCTTGTAAATAAACGACAGCGCCGCATATCTGAGATTTTATTACCATAAATATATGCTTGATTGTCTTTGTTTTTTCATGTTATAGGATTTGCTATCCAGATTCGTGAGTATTGGCTTGCACAAATTCCTTTTTTTTCTTCTTTTGGTGCAATAAGTTCTCAAACCTATTCTATGCATAAATGATGGGAATCTTATACATGTACAGTACTATTTCTGCTAATCTGGATTGCCGTATATGGTTAGTTAGGTAAACCAACATTCTACTTTATATTTAAGAAAGTTGGTGATGAGAAAGTTGTTTATATTTTTCAGGATTTGCACGATGTATTGTTGGGGATCAGCAGTGAATGGAGAGCTGGGTGTGGGGGCCCCGGAAGTTGAGCAGCTGATACTTCCAACTTTTATGGACTTTTCAAAAGCATGGAATGTCAAACAAGGTAAGACTGCTTCCTATGTAGTACTGTGCTGTGCATTTTTGTTTATGTTATGAACAATTAAACAAAATAGGTAGCTTTTGAAGAAGAGAATGCAGTTTTAAGAGCCAAGACTTCAATTTTCAGATACAGGTCTGTAGAATTTCTTTAGTGATATAACAGGTAGTGTTTATTTTTTATAAGTTAAAGCAACAGTAAAAGTTTTTTTAATCTGAAGAATCCCATGTACAATATTAGATAAGAAAATTTACGGTATTACTTGCTATATACATTACTTAAATGTCCATAAAGTTACAGGTCAAACTTATTGTTAATATTTGAACATTTCTGGAAATTTTGTGCAATACAGTATTTAAGAATCTAAGCTTTATGAACTAATTATTTTATGAAGGAGTTGAGAATTATATACATGGAACTTAAGAAAACTGTGCTGTACCTGTACAATATAGGATTATTATTTTAATTTTTTTTTACAGGCAGTCCCCGATTTAGAGATAATCAGGTTTTAAAAATAAAGATTCATGTATTTTTTCTAAATGTTTTTATTTACAAATGAAAAAATTCAGATGTTATTATTTTGTTTTTTGTTTTTGCTCTTTTGTACCTTTATGCAGCACAGGTATCCCTCATTATCCAAATGGGTTTGATTCTTGAAAATCATTTATGTAGTGAATAACATAACAAATGGGAAAAATAGGTACAGTTTCCCAACAAGGAACTCCCAATATAATACTTAAAACAAATATGAAGTTGATTTATGAAAAAAAACCTACCTAACTGTTATTGCTAAATTTATACAGTATTACAGTATACTTTACAGTTGGTACATTACCTTATTGGAGGGCTGTCAGGGTTCACCACGGGGTGAGGAGGGGTGGGCCAAGTTGTGTGTATTTGATTTTCGATCTGGCCATCTTTTGGATAAGTTTGGGTCACTTTTAGAGAGTGAAAAAGAGGTGTTGAATACAATTTTTGGATAACAAATGTTTGGATAATGAGGGATCCATGTATCAGGAAATGTTGAGGTGCTGACACAGGCAATGCAGGGCTTCTCATACTGGACCTGGTCAGTTTATAAAGTCCACTAAACTTAAAAGAATTACTTGTACATTCCTGTATTATATCATCCCTCTAAGGACTGTGGTGGCAACTCTTGGTCATTACCCACTGGACGAGGGAATATCGAGAAAAAAAATCATAACATTTTAGTCTTGACATATGCTCCTGATTTACTCAATCAACATTCAGTGGTCAGGGACACATGGCTTGTGGAAGCTACCCTCCACCATCAGCATATTTCTCACCCTCGTCACTCAAATTCTTCTAAGATTCACACGCTAATTCTTGAAAGTCACTATCTTCACTTATATCACTGTAATTATGCTGAGGAGGGGCACCTCATGGCAGTGGATGTGGTACATCTTGACTTGGCCATTCTTCATCCATTACTGATGGGTTGGGAGGCCCTGGACAAAAGTGGCCTTGGGGCCCTTTTCTAGTGAAAAAATTGATCAGGCATTTCTGAATTAAACCACATATTCAGTTAACTCTATATATAAAGTTGCAATAAAAGTATCATAATACTTGCATATTATTAATGTTTATCACAAAATGAGTGAAGAATATTACTTAACACTACACCCTTAATAGGTGTTATGAATAAAGAGAATGTTTCTACCCGTACTTTCAAATGTGATGGTGTACATTATAATGCAACCAAGGGGAAAACTCTCATATTGCAGGCTACATTGATTTGACAAATGGGAAAAATAAAAGCCAAGATTACTGATAAGTAATTGCATGTAAATTAAAAGTGATTTCTCAAGTAACCTACCAATTTACATAAACCTTTTCAAGCTTTTCTTTGGAAGGAAATCTTTAATCATATCACTGTAATCTAAATCTCTCCCAATTTTATGTACAGTAGCAAAAAAAAGTATCTGTCCACACTGTGTGAAACATTATGAGAACACGATGATAGATAATGGGACAGGCATTTACTTTGGTATACTTATAGTTTAACATAAGTAATGCAATGTATTTATTCGGCGTAATTAATATGATGTTCGGTTACCAAATGTAGTAGCATCCTTACGAGTTGCATATAGTATTTTGGAAGTCATGGGACCCATCCTAGCATATAATTTTTTGAGATACTGTACTGTACTGGTGTTTTAAGGGGGTAGCAGGACCAGAGGGGGAATTTTTAGCTCGCCCATCCAGCAGTCTGTCTTTTCTCTCTTCTCCCCCACACAGAAATAACTTCCCACTAAAAACTGCTATAAACACAGAAGGAAAGTTAGTTCTTGGCTGAAAGAATGCTCTCAGAAGATGGGCGTTGGGTGCATTGTGAGACATCTGGCAGGTGATGTGTGAAACTGTATCGCCCTGACCAATGAAGATTCTAAATAATGGGATTAATGTACTGTAGGTACCGTACTCAAGATAAATCAAAAGCAATGGCTGAGAAAGCAAAAAAATTTACGACCCTACTCTATTAAAACTGGGCTATTGCCAGCGTGTTACTAGTTGATTCAGGATAGTGCAAGTCTTTAGTTGACCTGTAGGCCATAAATGAGGGATTGAAGGATAAAATTCCATTTTAATACAGAGGGAGTAAATGACTGACCTGGAATTAGAAATTGACAGGAAATTAGAGGACAGGGGGATGAACTTTGTTTTATGGTTGAAGGTGGCTTGGATCTTTCAACCCTTGACCTGAAGCCTTACTTGTCTTGAGACAAGTAAGGCTTTGATCCTAATACGATTGGGTGAATGTATTTCTTTGTAGCTAGAAAGCAGTTTCTATGTGAATATTCTAACCTGCTAAAGGCAGGTGTCTTTCAGGGGTTCTTTAGTGCCGGTATGGATTTTGAAAGTTTACTCGTGTCTTCCCCATGGTCATAGAATGAGATTTTGTACCTTAATTCTTCCTTTTTGATAATTTTATGTTTTTATGGTTAGTTGCTGCAGGTCTGATGCATTCCCTGATCTTGACTGAAGAGGGTCTAGTATACTCCTGTGGCAACAATGAAATGGGTCAGCTGGGACACAACAAGCTCACCAGGACACCAGGTTTGTATGTTTCATAGTACAGTTTTGTCTAATCCTTAATGTTTTACTGGATGTTAGTGACATACAGTTACTTCATAATTTTGTTTCTACAGTATTTGTGTGCTAATTGTCTTCAAATTTCCAGTTGAAGACTTCTACACAATTTCTTGCAGATCCCATGTCTAAAGTATTTTTGTTTAACATACATGAAATGATACCAGTGTTCATTTAATAGATATAATAGTACTACAGTAGAGTATTTGACAACTGTAAATCAATTTTAAAGAAATAATATATTTTACAAAAGATTTGAGCATTCTAAATTCTATTAAATACTTCTTTTATTTAATTTTCCACATATTCAATCAGAGTACAGTGCACATATCTGAGGCTTGGCAACCACAGTCCTCCACCCTAAACATTTCAGACTATTTTTACCAATCCTCTTAAGATTTTGTATCTATCTAGGAACCCAATTTATTGTTTTGTTCATTCATCCATCCCTGTCTTTGCTTTCTTCTGGCCCTCCTATCCTCAACTTTGCCCATTAATATTTCAGTTGTTATCCCCTCATCCCTAAATTATAGGACCAAAGTACAGTACAGTAAGAATCCCAGTTATCTGTAGTCCGAGCAACAGGCAGATTCAACCAACAAGCACTAAAATGAAATACAGTGGTCCCTCGGTTAACTAATGGTTCGATTAAAGAAATTTCGGTTAACGAATTAGCTCCCATAAGGATTTTCAGTTCGATTAACGAAATCCTTACGACAAACACGTTTTGTTTTGCGCATCAGCTGATCGGCTAGTCCGCCAATACAGTAATTGGTTCTATGTTTACATTCGTTTCCAGTGAAGTAAATATCAAGAAAGTTGGTCACTTGAATATTTCTGCATTTTTTATATTAAATTTATTGGTCATTCTGAAATTTAGTTAACATATTGATAATATAGACAGTACAGGGAACAGTTTTTGTGCGCCCATCAGCTGATTGAATCACCCAACAACCCTTCTCAATTTAACTTTGTTTTTAGTGGATTGAACATCGATTTTGTTGGTCTCTTGAATATTTTTTGCATTTTTACATTAAAATTATTGGTCATTATGAAATTTAATTAACATATTGATAATATACAGTGCAGAAATTATGAAACATGAAGAAGGCATTAGAACTAATGCACTCTGTAAAGAGTGCCTCTACAATCAGCTGTTTGATATGTAAACAAAGCTGCTGGTAATACGACATACACACCTCAAAGTAAATTAAAATACAGTATTTTATTGTTTTTCGTTTATTATTTTACAGTATACTGTACAGTACAGTACTGTATTTAGTTTACATTTAATGTTTTGTTAATTCTATTACTGGTATACAGTACTTTGTATGTACTTTTTCTGTGAGTTGGAACCAATTACCCAATATCCCATTGAAATAGTAGATTTGGTTAACAAAATTTTCGGTTAACGAACGACTCTGTGGAACGAATTGTGTTCGTTAACCGAGGGACCACCGTACTGTGTATCCCCCAAAATTGTAGTTTCTTAAATACAATAAATATCCTTTTCATTGTTACATACTGTATCTTTTAATTTCATGACCCTGCTATATCACTGGGTGTGAAGGCTGTGTAGATACAACTCTAACCTCCTGTTATTAGGGGTTACTAGTTTGCACCTGGAACACCCTCAGTCTACCCAGCTGTGTATAGGAACCAAATTTTATAGTTTAGGAGTGGAGGGGTGGTTGTGCAGTGCCAATCTTTGCTTCCTTTTGCACCGAAGAAAATCCTTGTCTGCAGTTTTCTATGTGTGCACTGCCTTTAAAAGGCCATAATGCCTCTGGGACTTGCATTCATTTTTCACTGTCACTTTTTGAACATGATATCCACAGCTTAGAAAATAGTAATGACCCATTTACATGCTACTTAGCATTTTACTGTTGAAAATTCATATTTTGCATTCTTTTAATAATAATTATTACATTACACTACTATATGCCGCCGTAGAATAGGATTTCATGCTTCCATCCTCCTTCATTTTGCAATTTATTTTATCCCATGAAAAAGAAATATACATGTACTAGTGAACTCTTGACTCTTGCAGAACAAATAGATGATCTACAAAACTACAGTATCATACAAGTTGCAGCTGGGGATCAACACTCGGCAGCACTTACATCTTGGGGACTGGTATGTACATAGCTTAGATATGTTTTGTTTTTTATATAATAATACAAATACTAGAATATACGGTAATTGTTATATGTAACATAATTGGAAAGCATTTAGAGTTGTAAAAACCACTTTAGGATTGTATTTATCAGTTACCCCTGTACAATATCAATACACTCAGTAGCAGCATTACACCATCCTAAATTGGTTAAAGTTTTAACATAGAACAGAATAGGGACAGCCTACAAAAGCCCAGCATGGTAAGACTCAAAAATATAGACTTGTATACAGGTATGTATAGTTTTATATTATTTGTAAACAGATCAAAACTGCATACCTAACCCTGTGAAGACGATCCATGCTCCTTCCCAAAGTGTAAACCTCCATGGAGAATTAAGTATATAACTACAATGAAATATGTGAGCTTGACCTATGAGTTTTACCTTTAAAATATTTCAGTCAAAGTTGGTTCGTAATCCACTTATATCTGACCTGGATTGGATGAGTGTTTTCCAAGCTTTGAATTACTTGTGTATGTGGTTCCCTATGAGCTGAATAAAATCATCTAGTGTTAGCCCAATAAAATATTAGAAGTGTTTGGTAATGATGTGTGAAAATTAAAAATCAAAATCAAAATGTATTTTTCATGACAATATAACATAAATTTATAGGACCTATGCAATTAGGGAGTAAAGCCAGACTATTCCTCTTGTAATAACTGAAGGTGATAATGTACTACATAAGAACTTACTGATAACTGACAGAAGCAAACATAAGAGGATCAGAATGGAGGAAGCTGCAGCGGGCCTATTGGCCCATACTGAGATTTGCACCCAACCCATATCGCTCATATATCCATCCAACCTATGTTTGAAGCTATCCAGGATATTTGAGTTAATGATGATGTCTGGTAACTTGTTCTGCTTGTTCACTACTCTATTTCAAAACCTATGTTTACCTATTTCGCGCCTACGGTAAATCTAAATTTATCAAATTTAATACCATTGTTATGAGTTTGCTCCGGGTTGGATAGTTTGAGTACATATTCAAAACATCTTCGCTAACCTGTTCTGTTTCTTTGCAAACAGGTTGACAAAGTTATCCATATTATGTTCTTAGCCCTATGTTGGAACTCAGTCACTTAAACAGAGGACAACTTATCATCCAACATGGATTAAAATCGTCTGGTGTTAGCCAAATGAAATGTTAAAAGTGGCACCCAGCAGTGAAAGGGTTAATGATGATAAACTTCTCCCATTAGAGGCAGATGTTATGGGTAGTGCAAGAGCAATTGTTTGTGGCTTATACAAATTAGGAAATGCAACTTTCTATGGCATAAGAAATTGAATGGAAAGGAATTTGATAGTACGAATATCAATGAATCTGGAATAAATCTCTGCTAATAGTTTGTCAGTCACAGGATAGTAGAATGTGTTTCTATAGTCACCTTTTTGTTCACATTGTTCAGCATGTGTGACTTGAACCCATAACTACAGCAGGGATCCTTTTGAGAATTGACAACTCCTGGCATGAAGCTTCAATATGATTCTTGCTTATGTGGATTGTGTCCTGCTCCTAACTGTTGCATGCTCTGAAGGCAAAGAAAAGTGCTCTTTGGTAGTATTTCCCTGATCATTTATTTCTACCCAGTTGCAGTAAAATAGGACCTCTTCCTTCATGCCTTCATTTTTTTTTAATTTTCCTTTAATCCTTAAATGGCAGCTTATGAATTCCTTATCCACCCCCATTGCACTAAACTGGCAATGCAAGGAACATGAAATATCTGTTGATGTTGGCCGCCATCCACTGATGATGGCAGCCATTTAGAGGTTAACAGACGTAAAAATAATTAATACCTTGTACTGTATATTTTGAAGTAGTTTTTAATAAGAAAATTTTTACAGATTTATGTATGGGGAGAAAATGGATTTGGTCAACTGGGAATTAATTCAACTGAACCACATATTCATGCACCGAAGTTGGTGAAGAGTTTGGCACGGAAGCAGACTGTGCAGATTGCATGTGGATGTAATCATACTCTAGCTCTTACTTCAGGTAAGAAGTTGCATCTTGTGGGCCAGCTGAAGTGACTTTTTTTCCATTTTAGTTACCTGTACACTGTCTGTGAAATTTTTATCTCTGGAGTTTATGAAGTCTTAGATGATTCTCAGCTAAATTTTTGTTTTGAATGACAGCATATATAAATAGAATTTTTATGATGATATAGTATTATAGATTTTTGGTAGTGTCTAAGCAAGAATTATGAGTATGTATTTTTGGAATGACCACGTGAAGATTTTAAAACATAAAATTTATTCCATACACTTTTTATCTTTTTCATACAGCTCAGGGAGTTGTAACACTGGCTTGCCAGTGTCTGCATATCTTTCTTCTCAATGAGCTGTATAATATTCTCTAGTATTTCTCATTTATCTTTAATTATACACCTGTGTCGGCATTATTCATTTCTTTGTATTCATAGCCTGAAATTACCTAAGTGAGTAGTTTAAAAATTACTGTTATTTTAATTTCAGAAGGAGAACTTTATTCCTGGGGTCAGAATAATTTGGGTCAGCTTGGCTTGGGTCACAAAGACGGACCTCAAAATGACCCAACTCTTATCAAATCTCTTGTTGGGACCCCCATGGTTCACATAACTGCAGGAGGACATCACTCTGCTGTCCTCACTCAGGCTGGCTACTTGCTTATGTGGGGGTCAAACAAGCATGGTCAGTTGGGTTACACTCCAAAGAAAGATCCAAATTTTAGGTAAGATTTTAATTTTCATGTGATATCTACGAGTACTGTATATAGAATTTGTTTAGAGCTAGGTATGGGGCACCAATAACCCCACATTCTCACACTCCATTACCAAAATGAAGAAATAGCCCAAAAGAAGACTCCATATTTCCATAGTACAGTCTCGTTCAAGATTCTTTAAACACTGCTGGAGACAGCTGGCAACTCAAGGCCGTTTGTTTGCTATAGTACGTAGTATAATATGATACGAAACAACAAATCCCAACCATTAAATTATGCAAGGAGAACTAAGTAACCAATCACCGAGCACTTACATTTATTCATAATTTTTACTACGTACTATAGTAAACAAACTGCCTGAGTTGCCAGCTGTCTCCAGCAGTGTTTAAAGAATCTTGAACGAGACTGTACCTCAGCAAGCTCTGATGAGTTCTTTGCTTGTCATTTGCTCACATCTTTCATTTCCACATCTCTAATTTCTTGCCTTTCTTACTCTTTGCTGCCTCTTCACCCCAAATATATCCCTTAATTTTCTGTTAATACTTTCGCAATTTTCAAAACCTTTGTTCCATGTGGCAGCACAGATCACCACAGTTTTATTATGTTGATAATCTATGTGTGCATGTCAAGTAAATATCTTGTGAATGATTCCTTAGATTATTATTTTTATTTATTTTTTGGAAGTGTTAGCACAATGGGTTACTGGCTGTTAGCCACCCACCAACTGCTTGGGCCACTGCATTACCGAGTTTCTGAATTAACTATAGATCTAGTATTATTCTCAGTGATTATAAGGAACCTGTCTTGTGAGTTGTTAATGCCACCAACAAGGTCCTTCCCACTGTACAGGCTTCACATATACAGCTACTCCTCGACTTACGACCACCCGGACATATAACCGCCCCAGTCGTACGAAAAAATTTTCAAATTAAGTATTTTCAAGTCCCGACGTTAGTGATTGCGCTGTATACTGACAAAATTTTTGTTTGTAATTCCCTATAAAATGGCTGGCATGCTTAAAAGTGAGTGTTTTGTGGTGCTGAGAAGAAAAAGAGACACCCATTTCAGATTTTCTATGTACAGTACCTGTATTATCTTCGCATTTTCGACTTACGACCAATTTGCCTTATGACCTGAATTTGGGTCCCTAACCCCGTCGTAAGTGGAGGAGTGGCTGTAGTAGGTGCAAAGGGCAGTTCTGGCCTCCCTCTGGTTGGTCACAATTCACACAGTTTTCACACTCAGCTATAAACCAATGAATAAACTACACAAGTGCTACTTTGAGTGTTGGGGGTAGTCTAAACAGTGACTCGCAGTCCAGTAAGTTGGAGCGGGCTCCATACCTTCCACCTTGGGTGGACCACAAAATTCTGTGCACAACTGTACCTAGACTGAGGAGGAAGTTACATAAGCCCTTGGCAGGTGACTTGCTCTCATGCCTGTATTAAAGAACATTTAATTTTTAGATATTCTTACATCTCATTGGTATTATTTGCTGGTAAACTTAGATTTTTACAAAGAACTGAAGACAGGCTAGCTTAAAACAGTTTATGTCGTCAATATCTTAATATGTTCTAAACTACATTTACTATTTGCTTTTTTGATACGTGGATAATGAGATAACATGTTAAATTTGCAGTGAATTGCCCAAACCAGTTCCCAATTTATCATCTTACTCTGAACCACTGCTGTATGTTGCGCTTGGGGAGGGTCACACTGCTGTTCTCGACTCAAATGGAAAGGTCAGTAACTACTTATGGAATTTTGTTTATTGTATTAACACTATCACAGTCTTGGACGTAGCTGACATGTCTGAAAAGTTTCACTAGGTTCACAGTCATTGAGTCACTGGTTGTGTCTTCTTGATACAAATAATTGTCTTAAAAAAAAATCCACTTTGGACTCGGTACATGTTGAAGTATGAAGATTCAGAGTAAATGTATCATACATCTGGCACCCTCTTGAGCTTTGCCTATGGGTTAAATTTATTAAAATTCAGTCTGGACTGTGACCTTTCAGTGAGGAGAGTTATGAGCGTGTCGACATTTAAATCTTATTACACTTCCATCCCCTAGATTGTGTGTGTTTGTGTGTACATATTGTGGATAATTGTTGGGAATATTTGGTGATATTTCCTTCAGTTTAGTGAATATTGTGATTCAAATTTTAAATAAATCCCATTATCATGACTCATCATACCTATCAAGTGCTGAAGAGCTACAAAGAAATTGTACTTCATAGTAATAATAATAGGTGACTAGATACCACTGAAAGTGAAGGTAGTGAGGGTGGTCCCACCAGCCCAGTCTGCATCACAACATAACCGCTCTGTACTCATTCTGTGCGTAGCTATTACAGTACTCGGTGCAGCTGTGCCTGTTTTCTTGTAACATATAAATAACACACATTGTGAGAATAATACCCAAGCAAGTACCTTTGGGTAAGGCACCCAAGAGCAGAAAGCTGAATTTACTGAAAACATATCTTAAGTGTGATCCACTTCATCAACATTGAAAGTGAAAAAAGTGAGTCCCATTCATACCCGCATAATCTTCACAACATAACAAGTCACCACCAGGCAGGTGTGTCCTTGAGATGGTGACACGCTGCCACTGATTCGTGTGGGTTATGCCAATACACCAACATCAAGAGTGACAGGCGCTGGGCTGGCTGGCATGAATACGAAACAAGTGAATAATCAGGGGTTAATGTATATGTACAGTATAACTGAGTATAGCAATGTAATAATGATTATTTGGAGATAAAAACTCTTACAGTATATAACTGAGTACTGTATATACATAGCATTGTATGAATAACAAGGATCCCCTGTTCAAGTTAATTATAAATCTGGTATTATTCTCAGCAGGCATAAGGGAACCTGTCTTGTAAACTGTCTTGCGAATTGTTAGTGCAGCCAACAAGGTCCTTCCCACCGTACAGGTTTCACATATAGGTACAAAGGGCAGCTCTGGCCTCCCTCTGGTTAGTTACAATACACACAGTTCTCACACCCAGCTCACACAGGGTGTAGCAGAGAGTTATTGTTGCTCATCTGGTGTAGCTGGGAATCCTCATTTCTTACCTGGTGTAACTGGTGAGGTCTACACCGGCAGTGACCATGAGCACTAGCTTGTCAAAATTCCCCCCCCCCCTCCTCACCCTGCCCCACACACACACACTTGTTTTCACTCTTTTTAAGATGAGATTGTTACTTTTGTATATCGATTGTGAGTTATTGTCAATCTTTGTACTGTATTGTATTGTTGGTGAAAGATATTTCATAAATTCCGGTGGGGAGAAGATGAGGGAAAGGAAAGGAGGGGGCCCAAAAGGTGGACCCAGGCAGCCACATTAGCAGTGCCAAATAATTGTTGTCATCCCATGAGGGTTGAGGACTGAGTGTGTGCGGGTGGGCACACATGCATATGTGCATGGAAATACAGATAAAATATATTTTACTGTGCTTTACTTCTTACAATGAGGTGTCCAGCAGCTGAGTGGATTCAGTGACCACTTGGGGTGACAGGATACCCTTATTCTATTAAACTGAGAATAGGTAACTAACTTTAGAGTTAAAGACTGAAGGCAATTGAGTGCAGTGCCAGCCACACAGCTTGTGTGTACCAAAGGCTTAGTATGTAGTGTGCTGTTTTTGCATTGCTCTTAATGCACTGTTAGGCCTTTGATATTCACTTTCATTTATAAGGAACCCATTTGCATCTACTTTTCAGCTTTGGACATTTGGATATGGTCGTTATGGACAACTTGGCCATGGTACAAATGAAGATGGAAGCATCCCTCGCACAGTACTTGACATGTGTGGGTCAAAAATCAGTCAAGTTGCATGTGGTAGATGTCATACAGTTGTGTACATCCCCTCTCAGGTAAGCAATGATATTCTATCAAATTGATATAACTAGTATTTACACCAGAAAAATGATTTGTAAATGCTTGATATTCAAATTCGTGATTGTTATACCCTGTATAGCAGTACATAACTGCACTGTAACTTGCATGTTGGGTTGGCCACTTTAGGGGTACTTAAGGAAGTATTGATGATTTGGACATTAGACCACTTATTGCAGCTGTACTGTATATCATTACGTGCTTGCAATACAAATGTTTGAAAATCGCCATTCTTTTTTCTTCTAAATTTTAACCAATATAAAGCAATTAAAAAGATGCTTCTTTAAAGATGAATCCACACCAATGCACCAATGTTGTTAACATTGTCATCAACATTTTGGGAAAAGATGTCAGCATTATTAAAAAAAGGTGAAATAATCACGTAGTCCACACCAGTCAGTTAACTTAACATTTCTGTTGGCAACGCTGTTCCCAAGACATCGTTGTCTTCAGAATCAAATATAATGGTGTCAGTTTCTTTTTATGCATGGGGTTGTACACGAACGGATGCAGTACGTCTTGACTCAACCATGGTCTATCCATTAGTAATTGGGTGAGAGGTCTACACCACGTTAGGGCAGTTGCCTGAAGTCTCCACAAAGATGATCAGTAAATACAATACATAGGAAATTTAAATTTAGCCTAAGAGAATATATCACAACAGTTGTGGAATATGTCCAGATTAGGGTCTCACAACTGTTGCAGAATATCCCTATCAGGGGTTCAAACCTAATGAAAGAAGTGACCTAGTTTCCTTCTGTCCTTCCGTATTAGATTTAGAAATTACCTGAAACAGACAATTATTCTATGAGCTTCCTATCTAGTTCAGGAAGGTTGAAAGCATGTGAACAACGGTAAGGGATTTATTTCTATACTGGAAGCCTCACTTGGCTTGAGTCATCCCTGGTTCAAACAGGATCTACTGTACAAAACTTATGAACTATTTGGTTTAGAAGTACAGTACAGTTTCCAATGGAAAATAGTCTGGCATTTGGTTGGTCAGCGTATCTTGCTAGTAAAAAATTAGGTTTAGTGGTGGGCTTACCTTGGGGCATTTTGCATTCCAAATCTGGCAGGCCATTCATTCTCTCTTCTCTGTCATAAAATGGAATTTTTTATGTCATTCCTTCATATTCATTTGGCAATAAGATGCATGTGGAGGCAGTGACTTTCTCATTACATGTCACATTCTTATTTGTTCTTCGCTAAAAAAGGTGGGTTTCTGTTTTGTTTTTGTTTTTTATTCAACACAGCCTTCCTCATTTTACCTCTTTCAATGTTGAAATTTTTTCCAGGGTCAACTTTATGCATTTGGACAAGGAATGTCAGGTCAGTTAGGGATTAAAACGCCACACAATCGCAATTTACCCCAGGTGGTAGTTGGACCATGGCTCACACCAAGTGGAGTCAGCCTTATGGACACCGATGAGGAAGAAGAAATTCAAAAAATTTACATAAAGAAGGTGAGTCAATAGCCCAGGAATTTGTATGAATAATTTGTAAAAAATATTGAGAGGCTACTGTAGTAATATGAGTGTGCATTGGATTGGGATACAGGCAAGAATTACTAAAGACATCTGAAGGTAACTGTGTGATGAAAAGTTTATAGACATTGAAGATGCAGGAATAGGAAATTTGTCTTACATTTTTTAAAATTTTATTTCCTGTTGCAGATTTTTGCTGGTGGAGATACAACCATGGCTACGGTAATGAAGGAATCTGGGACTGCTGACAGTTACTGTGTGAAACACCCATCAGAACTACCTTTAAAAATTGAAGAGGCAAAGATAAACCAGATGATAGGAATTGATGAAGAGGATATTATTGATGACGATTTATTTTCGTAAGTACAATACAGGTACTACAGGGTTCTTCTAATTTATGCATTGAAAAGATGTCCTTAATTCATTCATGTTCTGATGTACAGCCTATAGTGTGGGAGCAAGTTGTATACAGTGGATCCTGCATCTCTTATATGTTTACTAATTACACTTGAGATTCTTAATCGTCAGGTGGGAAAAGGTTTATAGGATTAACAGCAGTCTATTTCTCTCTTATTTTCAGTTTTTACTTATATATGTGGTCTAGGATGTAACAGAAGCATTTTAATCAAGGTACAGAATGTTTGTAGGCTTACTACAAACAAGAAAATTTGAAATTTGAGAAAACTGATGAATTCCCATGTCTACCATATACACTCGGGTACAATTAGAGATTTATGATAATTTTTTTAGGCAAAAATAGTGGTTGAACTATATACAGGTATCCATTGCTATATGAATGGGTTAGGTTCCTGAAAACCATTCATTAAGTGAATTTTCATATAGCAAATGAAAGAACTTATGGGAAAAATAGGATTAGGTTACCTAATGACAATAAAACCCCAATATCCTTCCCACAAATCATGAAATCAGTTCACGAACAACAAAAGACCTACCTAACTAATGATAAATAGTACACATCTACTGTAATTTACTATACAGTATTTCCTGATTTGCTGAAAGGTCTCACAGGAATGCATCCTGAGTGAATACCTTCTGATGCAGCTTATCCCTTTACTTTAAAGTATTTTCATGTCAAATTGCAAATTATATATTGTATTTTCTATTACTGAAGCTGTTATATTAATCATGATGAATCACACACCGTTAGAGGCTGATCATTTGAAAATAAAGTTTTTAATCAATAAATAGACCTGCCGAATGCAGCAAAAACATATTTAACAGTGCTGCTATGGTTAAAGCCACAATTCTTAAGAAGCCACAAGAGTAGAGAAAAGTATCAGAGCTACCTTCTTTGGAGTAAGAATTGTTAAATCTTGGAATAACCTGCCAGAGAATGTGAGTGTTTTTATGACAACAAATGTGAGCTCATTTAAGGTTAGACTTGACCAACATTGACAAATATTTTGATACCTTCTAGTGCCTGTGCATACCCAGCATATGACAAAAGTGCGTAATAGAAAACAGCCAACCACCTAAGTGGGTAGTCAGCCTATCAGTGGTGAAGAAAATAAGGTATGGTAAGGTAAAGTATGCTGATTTTACACTGTATTGTACTCAACAAGCTTTTGTTTTAATTTCTTAATCATTGTCATCATCAGCAGCAACAGTGGCAGCAATGATTTACGGCTATTTTCTATGCTTCCATGCATAAACTGTGATTACCCCGGTACCTGATTTCAGGTGTCCATGCTATGAGGTGTCATGTAGCCTCTCTTGTTAGGTTCTTAACTCTAATAAAATTTTTTACAACCTCTCCTCATGTCCTTGACCTACCCCTAGGTCTTACACTCATGGCTCTGTATGTGGAGACAAAATCAGTACAAAAACATACCAGTACCAAGTAACCCCCCACCCCCCCCTCCAAAAAAACCCAAAAACATTAAGTCACTAAAAATGTGTTAGTTATTACAAAATATGGGCGGCTAGCGAGCCGATCTTTTGGTGAAGAGGATAAATGAAAAGGAAAAGTAATCAGAGACGTGACCGATCGCCCAAGCGGCTAACGAGCCGATCAGTGGCGAAGAGGATAAAAGTAAAAATTAAAAGTAAGTATTTGTTTTTCCACACACGCCAACACAAAATGGGAAGCCAAAAACAGCAGTAGTTGAACAGTACTGTATTTCTCAGCTGCCGTAAAATACCTACTGTAGAAGCTTGAAGCATTTATTGATGTATATTCATCACTCTTTGCAGTCTATGGCCTGTTTTCATACTACTGTACTGTATATTTTGTTACTTGATGCTCTTACACTGCCTATCCCCATATAATAGAATAAAAACTTACCTTATTTATTCAGATGATAGGTGATAAAAAATCTCGTGTGAGGGTTGGCAATAACTGGACTCATGCATCAAGCATCGTCTGTGACTCTTCATGAGTGTGTTGTGGTTGAGCCTTATAATTTTTAAATTTACTACAATGGTTTTGCACAGTGAAACTGTTAACAACATGTCTAGAGGTGTTTTAAGACTTTTTTCTTTTTGGATTGTATCTCTGCTCAATGCTGGAGACAGCTGGCAATTCAAGGTTGTTTGTTTACTATAGTACGTCGTAAAAATTATGAATAAATATGAAAGTGATTGGTGATTGGTTACTTAGTTCCCCGTTGCTTAATTTACTGGTTGAGCCTTGTTATTTTGTATTATATTATACTACGTACTATTGTAAACAAACAGCCTCGAGTTGCCTTGCTGTCTCCAGCAGTGTTCAAAGAATCTTGAACGAGACTGTACATTGTATACCTTCACTGTCTACAATATACAGGGGTACTGCACTTTCTTTCTATCTATCTATCTATATCTATCTGTTTAATCTCTATCTATCTAAGCTCTGCTATTTTAGACAGCCAATCAGCTTACAGCTTCCTTTCCATGCTGCCAACTGTGTGTCATCATTTTGGGCAGTGCTGATATGAAGCACTATGCCGCGATGGAAAATCTACTACGAAACAACCTTGTAAAGGATTGCCAACACAGTTTTATGCCAGGGCACTCCTTAACATAATTGCTGAAGGTATTGGATATTTGGGCCCATATTCTGGAACAGGGTGGTAATATCGACAATATATACCTAGATTTTCCCAAGGCTTTCGACAGTGTACCCCACGAAAGGCTGAAAATCAAACTGGAAGGGTATGGAATTCGGGGAAATGTCCTAGCGTGGATAGAAGACTTTCTGCATGACCGCAAGCAGTGTGTGGTAATTAATGGCACGAGATCATCATCTGTACCTGTCACAAGCTGGGTACCACAGGGCAGTGTATTGGGCCTGCTGTTGTTTGTTTGTTTCATAAATGACATGCCTGACATTGTACACTCCTCCATACAAATGTTTGCTGATGATGCCAAGTCATTTCGGGAAATCAAGAACCATGCGGACTGTGAAGAGGTGCAGAAGGGATCTCTGTGAGGTCCAAGAATGGTTCAGAAAATGGCTTCTGAGATTCAATGTCACAAAGTGTAAGAGGATGCACCTGGGGCGTATCAACAGTAAGGAGGCGTATCACATGAAAAAACTGCATTGTATGTTGACAATGAGCTGAAGTTCTGGGGCCATTGCGAGAAGGTAAATCAGGCAAATAAATTATTGGGTCTTATAAGAAGGTCGTTCAGATATATAGACTGTCATGGTTTTCGGGATACTATCGGTGGTATATGAGTGGATTATATTATATAAAGAAGATAATATATCGTATTCTTATTTCTTACCGTAGAGTTCGATCCCTTCACACTGGTTACTTACAAGAGATTATGGTGTATCTACGTAGAAGTTCTCTCCACCACTCGACATTCCATGATTTATTCTTGATAAATGATGATTTAATGAATTCCATTAATTTTCAACATCCATCTAAGTTATTGGTTATACTTTGTCATAACCAATCAGTCATTACCTTTAGTAATAAGAAGATAGGATCACAGATACAGGCAGATAATTGCTCTTACATTTATTTGTCAAGCTTCCATACAATGATTTACAATTTGCATGGATATATGAATCACTTACGTAACTTTGTCGCAACCAGGCTTCCACACTTGATATTTCCACAGGGATAACAAACCTAGGTTAACACACTTAGTCTCGTGTCGATCACTGTAGACGGGTGTCGTGCAGGAGAACTCTGTAAGCGTGAATTGATTAACCATTTACTGTAGGTTTGATAGGCCAGCTGGATTGTTCTTGTTGCAACCAGGCATCCACACGTGATATTTCCATGGGAATAACAACCTAGGTTAACACACTTAATCTCGTGTCGACAACGGTCGACAGGGTGGAGTGGCGGTGGAGGACTCTGTGTGGTGTGGTGTCCCACTCACTTCAGGAGGGAGAGAGTCAAGATGACTTCTTAACTAACCCATGGCTCAGGGGATACTACTTAAAATGAGGCTTTTGGGTGTGAAGCGATGAACAGTACAACACTGTTTCACTGCCCACCCTCCCCCCTAAAGGCTGGCTAACATGCACTAATGGAAAATACATGTCCCAGTTATGCCTCGCCGGGTGTCTTATCTCTAATAAAACAAACTTTGGAGTTGGTTGCGTGGGTAAGCCTAACGCAACCCATGAAATAGACGGTCCATCCCCTCGTAACGATCTTCAGGAATAAAGTGCTTCCCCATCTGGAGAACTGTCACCCTGTCTGGTCCCGGAGATATGCTAGGGTCTGTCAGTTGGTTAAAAATGCTCAAAGGAGGGCCTGCACTTCGGCAACTCAACTACCTGAGAGATTGGAGGGCCTGAACTTGCCTAGCTTATACTACAGACGGGCAAGGGGAGACATAATTGAGGTGTATAATCATCTCAAGGGGCACTACTCAGTCGAATGTCCTTACTTGGAGCTGGTGGACTCTCACCCCACAAGGGGTCACAGCTCAAGATTGAAGAAGCCGAGAAGCTGCAGGTCCAGAAAACTGTGAGGGCAAACTCTTTCAGAGTGAGAGTTGTGAACTCTTGGAACAATCTAACAGAAAGTATTGTGACGGCACCGAGTGCGAGCTCTTTCAAGACCAGACTTGACCAACACTGGAGCAGGTTCAGGTACATTCAGGAGCCGGTGCATGCCCAGTACTTGCCAACAGTGTGTAACAGAGACATGACCGATCATCCAAGCGACTAACGAGCCGATCAGTGGTGAAGTGGATAAAAGTAAAAGTTAAAACTGTACTACAGATGCTCATAAAAATGTCCTTTGATTGGAAGTAACTGGTACAAAAATATTGAAAATACTTAAACTTGCTGTTTACCAGTAAAGATAATAGTCATGGCTCTTAATATACTTGTTGATTTTCTTTCTGAAGGTATATGGAAACTGTATTTGGATCCCTGGCAAGCTGGAACTGTTGTTTTATAATGGAAGCTGCTGACAAGCATGGTCATGGGCTTGATTACAGAGTGGCAGAAGAGTACATGGGAAAACTTGGAAGGATGCCTCGAGAATCCATTCAGGAAGTTGTGAGTATTTTAATTGCCATATATTTGAAAGTCCATGTGTAGGTGGCTGTAAATCTTGTATTTGTCAAAAAAACCATTTTGTATAGTAAGGGGGGGGGGGGGCTGCTGACAGGAACACATTCTCACTGTGGTTACTGAGCAGTGTTGCAGACCCAACTGTAACAGTATAAATGCTTGCTTAAATTTCTTCATGTTGATTTTGTTTACATATGAATATGGAAATCAGGATTAAAATTTTGTATGAAAGTACAGATATACTATATACAGTATCACACAGTATCATGTAAAGGTTAAATGAACAATTATTTTTCGTGTACAGTTCTGTATATTAGAAACTAAATTATCCACAAATGTTTATTCTTGAGCATGTGTAGGTAACTGAAAATTGTGGATACAGTACTTGAATCTTAACTAGTGGATGTTAGGTTACCTTAAATAGTAATTTCTAAATATTTCTCTTGGTGTAAAATACTTCTAGTGGAATTAGTGTTGTAGCCTTATAATTTTTTTCTTTTCAAATCCAGTCCAGTTCTCTCTCTTCACAGTCCATCTTGACCTCTTCAGTAGTGTTTGGAATAAAAGTCACGTCACGTATAAACACTGACTTTAGTATTTAATTTACAGATTGAAAATAGTGTCGAGAATATCACAAATGATCTTCCTCGTCACCCATTAACTCCAGAGAGTCTCCGCTGCTTTATTCTTCTTCCCCTCTATAAGAGCTTCTTAGATGCTCGGCACATGGCCAAGTTGCAGTTGCCATATGCAGAGGCATTTTTGAATTTGCAGGAAGACATGGCTGCAGTATTAAGTAAGTATTAAAGATTATCAAGGGAACAAATGTATTTTTTTTATTATAAGGGTGTACAGTGGTCCCTCGTTTAACGAAATTTCGGTTAACGAATTACCTTCCATAAGAATCTTCATTTCGATTAATGAATAAAAATTTGGTTAACGAAATTCTTACGCAAATGTTTCGACATGCTTTGGCTTGCTCACCAGCTGGAAGATTAGTCTGCCAATACAGAAATCAGTTCTAGGGCTCACATTTGTTAAAATTGGAGTAAATATCAAGAAGGTTGCACTATTCAATAATTTTCCAAGTTTTATATTAAACTTTTTAGTCATTTTAACACTTATTTAACATACATGGTAATTGCAGTACAGGGAACTAGTTTTTGGTGCACTCATCAGCCACTTCACTCACCCACCAAGGCCTCAGTTTGTATCTCTGTTCAGTGGAGGAAACATCTTACTTGTGGGTCTCTTGAACACAGAGTATTTTTACGTTTTTACAGTACAATTATTGGTCACTCTGAAATTTATTTAACATATTGACAATGTATAGTGCAGTGCAGTGTTGATTTAAAGAAAATAATCTTTAATTACACCTAGTGAACTTAAAATTTTATGGGTGAAATGACGGCATCAAGCATGGGGTGATTTCTCTTCCACCCCTACTTCCTTCTATTTCCCATCATCATCATCATCAACCAGGAGCCTTCTACATACACACCTCAAAGTAAGTGTACTTTACTGCATTTTTTTTACTTTGTATGAAATTTTCGGTGAGCTGGAACCAATTATCCAAAATCCCATTGAAATAATGGTTTCGGTTAACGAAATTTTTGGTTAACGAACAACCTTCTGGAACGAATTGTGTTTGTTAACCGAGGGCAGCGGGAGGAGGGGGGTGAGGTGAGGTGAGGTATTGACCTGCCGGCGGGGAGATTACTGATCTAGACGTCGTTATCAGTCATACGGAGGAAGTTTAAGTTTTTAGCTTATAAAATGTCAGTGAATTGACTTGGGAGCTGATTGTATGATACTCAAAATGTACGCCACTAAAGGTGGAGTGGAGGTTATGTTTTCATTACTAGTTTCATGACCTATGTATTATACATTATTTATATTTCTTAGATACCGTACTTCATTTTAGTGCTCCTTAGCAATCACTTCCTTCGCCTCAGAGGTAGCTACTGAACTACCTCGCTGATTAAGTGAACTGCTTGTACGGTATTCCCCTGTACTAGCCGGATTTTGGACGTGTTTTTCAGGGTTGGGATCATATATGTCTGGTGCTGGACCCCAGCCCAGTTTGCTAGGGAACCCGATTAAATGGATCTGGGTTAGAGGGAGTTTATTATATCATAAATTAAAACTAGTTTGAAATAAATACTGTTTATATTTTATGATAAATTATTCCTGTACTGCCTCTAAATGTATGTAGATTCTCAGAAGAGCATCCCTCTTGTCCCTCCATGTCTTCTATATCATAATACTGTACACATCCTAATGCTACTCATAGATGGCAGGGGCCACACACAGGGACACACCACACCTTGCACACACATACTCGGTGTCCTTTCTCTTTCCATATTTGTAACAAAAATGACACCTGTTGAACTTTATAATTGTTAGGGAGTGATTCAAATTGAAATTTAGGCAGTCTGGTGTGTCCTCACTTTGAGATATCTTCCCATTAAGTGTGACCTCGGTTTCTTCCTCTGAGATCGATGACTGTTTACTCTCTTGTTGGGGTTGGTCAGGTAAGACATAACTGCTTGACACCACGGCTGGGCTCAGGTAAAATGAGGCTTCATTAGAATTCTGTTGAGTGTCAAAATTTTCCTTTGCAGAGCTCTGGATAAAGGTTTTACCTCGGGACTTTGTCATTCATCTCCTGAATATCTACAAGTTGGTTATCGTTCAAATACTGAATAATGCCAAACAATCATCTGAGGTGAGTGCCTGGATATATACAGGCTGATCAGCGGTTATCCGTCAATTGCTAATCTAGACAAAATGTCCAGGAGGTGGTAATCTCATATTTTACGGTTTCCCAAGGTATTTGCGGTGTGCACCTTCCGTATTGTTTACTGAACTGCCTTGTTTGTTTTTGTGATACTGTTATACCATGCTTCCCTTAAAACATTTTAATTTATAATCCCTTATTACACATGTTAACCTTAATGTATGTCCACTCCGTTGCTAGGGAGGTAGTCTGGTGTGCTGAATCGTTGCTAGGGAGTGTAAGAAGACTGCTTTATGCTCTGCCTGTTTGCTAACTCAGAGGTTGTGAGGTCTAGTGCCGGGCATTCCATGGAACATTCATTTTTTATATTTTTTATTTTTTTTTTATTTATTTTTTATTCTTCTTTGATTTCTCCACAGTTCTTTGCATTTTTATTTAATTAACAGAATTTTTGCAGTACAACATAAATATTGTTGACCTTTAAGTGTTTTATTGTAGGATTAAGGGACATTGGATGGTGATGTTCCTTTGGAATGCTCATATGTCTGTAACCTCCCGTATTTCCAATTAGAAAAATACTGTACAGTATTTGATATAGAGATACACTCCAAACAATATTATTTATTACCTTTGAGTGACATATACATCTTGAATTGGCTGCTAGTACATTTAGATAACTGAATAATGAATAAACCTGGGTACAGTATATGCAGATGCATACTATACACTACAATATTATTTATTAAGTGCTGATAAATGCAGACTGACCTTGCAAATTTGTGTCTCAGGTCTGTTTTTGCAAATTCATGCAGTTTCATGAGTGTTCCCCAATTACCTTGTTTATGTCTTGTCCATGCTCGCTTGAGAAAATAATAAAACTACAATTGTTTTGAAATTTAAATGTTCACGAAAATGCATGGATTTGTGGAAAAATTAACTTCTTTAACTTTATTCCTTGCTTTTTAAATGATGTGGCTTAGAAAATGAAGAAACTATAATATGAAACTATAAAGTACAAAACTGAAGAGCATAGTTGTCTGTGTAAATATATTTGCTCGTGCCTCAAAAATACCTTCATTTGACGGCCCATATCATATAGATTATTTTACCAAATTTTTCGATAAACTATTCAGGATTAATTTGGTAAAAATTTGTGTTTTTAACTTAATTAGAACTTATTTTCTAGATTCTATTATTAACATTTGCTTTGCTTTTTTTTTCATAAAAGAACTGAGTCCATTATTATAGTGTGCTGAAATATTTTGTTTTTGGATTTTTTATTGGAACAGTCTAGACTCTAGTTGACACTGGGTATTGAGGGTACAGCTTTATTGGCAAAGTCCTGTATAGAAGTGGCCGAGTTGGTTTGTGCTTGTGGAAAGAATGGACGAGACCAATTTGGTCAAGAGGTGCAGGAGTCTAAATGTGGAGGAGAGGAGAGTCATGGTTAGGTCATGAATGACGTGGGGAGAGGTTGTAAGAAATAACATTAGAGTTAGGAACCTGACAAAAGAGACTGCAGGAGACTGTGCAGTATGGAGAGCTGCCATCAGGTAAGTGTGGCTAACCCACGCAAGCTAGAAATATGGTCATCAAATGATGATGTTTCACTACCATACAACTTAAAACCTGTGCTGAAGCCATATATACATTATATTCTGTATACAGTATCTCTTCAGTACATGTCATGGGTTTGAGTCCTGCTTGGCCCGGAAATATGTGAGAAGGGGGTTATCCAGTGTGACCTTACCAAACATCAGGTTTCCTCCGGGTACTCCACTTTCCTCCTTTACTAACACTGGACAGACTAACTGCCCAAACGGCCATTAACTTGATAAATAGTGAAATAATAAATAAAGATAAGTTAAACTTACTTCCAGCCACTTCTGGCTCTTGCCATATGTAAACATGAATTGATTCATCTTCCAATTGCCTCCTGAAATGTTATTTACTAAACTTGTTTGAATAGTTGATTAGGTATTATATGTAACCTCTTTCATCCACAGATTGACAGGCGTGCTTTACTATCATCTCTAAAGATATTAGGCGTCTTGCACGGAGAAAACTTTAAGCATGGAGCTAAAGCAGCTAGATTATCTTATGAGGATTTCTACATCCCTGAAATTGCTGAAAAGATTGACATTCGAGCTGACTATTTAAATTGGATCAGTAGCAAAGTCAGACCAACTGTTAGAAAGGATGTAAGTAATCCTGAAAAATTAATCTTTTATAATATACTGTATAGTCTCGGTTTACACGGTCAATTAAACCCGTGGAGGTCTGCGTAAAACGAGAAACGCGTAAACAGAATAACAGAACATATGGGATTAATTGAAATAGAGACTGGGCCGACCCCCAGACTTCCCTTTTTCCGACACAATACGTACTTTGTAGTAAAAATAACATCTTAATTTTATGATGGTATGCACACACAATTAATATTTAAGTGAAATATCAATAATATTAGTAGAAGAGATGGCTGGACACATGGGGATGGGGGGTTGGTTCCGAGGCAGAGGGCAGATTATTGGCCCTCACCTGTATCACTTGTATCACCTGTATCACTTGTATCACCTGTATTACTATACACCACAGAGGCTTGCAGGGCCTCTTTGTCAAACCCCTCAAAGTCCATATCCTCACTATCACTGACTTGGGCTGGCTGTGGCGGGTGAAGAACTCGGTAATGTTTTGTTGACTGGGCGACCTAGCGCGCACCCTGCCCGCGCCGCTTCCCGCGTAAATGATGGAATGTACTGTGTAACTAATAATTGCCGGTCTGGCCAGGTGCCGCGTAAATGACCAACCTCGTAAATCGAGACTATACTGTACCCCATTTCCAGAAAAAGTATACAGTATGTTTGTGTGTGCATGCCTGCGAGCGTGTGTGCGTGTGAGCGTGCATGTGTATTTTTGTTTATATTATACATGTGCATGAACAAAATTTCATTCACCAAATCATTAAAGTATTATTTTTGTAATCCGTAACTTCTTTTCAGATTCCAATTTCGTTTTGTGAGTATCCTTTCCTTTTCGATGCTCAGGCTAAGACGCTGCTACTTCGTTCTGATGCTACAAGGCAGGTATGAGAAAATACATTTTCTTTTTGTTGTATGTATGTATTGTATTTAAATAAAAAATATTCTCAACAAAATGAAGTGAACAGATGCACTAGCTTCATAGCAAATTACTCATTTGTCATTAACTAAATGAGATGAACATTGTAGGCACTGATCAAAATTCTATACAGTTAACCCTCACTTTACGCTGTTAATGTAACCCGGAGGGTCCCGCGAAGTGAGAAACGCGTAAAGTGAATAACATAACATATGGGATTAATTGAAATGGAGTCCGGGCCGATCCCCAAACTCCACTTTTTGACGACACACAACTATGTTGTAGTAAAAATATTATCTTAACTTTATGATGGTATGCACACACAATTAATAATTAAGAGAAATATCAATAATATTAGGTTTTTAACACTTACATTAGTAGAAAAAATGGCTGGGCACACGGGGATGGGCGGTTGGTTCCGAGGCAGAGGGCAGATTATTGGCCCTCACCTGTGTCACTTGTATCAATTGTATCACTATCCACCACAGAGGCTTGCAGGGCCTCTTTGTCAAACTCCCCAAAGTCCATATAAGTCCATATCCTCACCATAATTATCACTATCACTGACTTGGGCCGGCTGTGGTGGGTGGCGGGTGAAGAACTGGTAATGTTTTGATGACTGGGCGACCTTGTGCGCACCATGTTCGCGCCGCTTACACAACATGGCGGATGGCGGGAGGTTTGGATCCAAAAATGGCGCGGCTCGCCAGCCGCTCTCCGCGTAAAGGGGTACACGCACCGCGGAATGTGAGCATCCTGGGTTTCCGGCAGGGCACCGCCGCGTAAGCGATGGAAGCGGAATGTGGGACCGCGTAAAGTGAGGTAACTGTAGTTAAAAAAAATTTGGACATCTTTATTTATAACTGATGTTAATGTTCAGACCAGAGTACCACTGATATGACCTTAAAGATGCTATACAACTGTTTACATGGTCAGAATTCATTGGTGAGATTTTAGGTGGTAATTTGCAGGGCACAGGTGTTTTAACAAGTGGCCTAAAAAGAAGTAAAGTGTCTGTCCCAATCTTTGACAAATACTCGTATATGATGATGCCATAACTTCTTCAATGGAATATGGGAGATAAATATATTTAATAAAGGGTTGGAAAAAAAATTATAGCTGATTCAGGCAGGCTAAAGGAAGGGGCAGCTATGAAAGACAATGAGTTGGTTTAGTGACAGATATGCATTTTTAATTGTCTGGTAATGAAGGTGTTAATATATTGGGCTAGAATTGAATACATTTCATCTGATATTTCAAGCCTTACTGAGTTCTTAGTAATCATAGGTGGTGGTGTTGAGCAAGAATGCTGGTGAAGTTCTTTACCTTATTTTATCTCATTGACCTATTGACCACCCACTGGAGGTGGCCATGCCGAGGGAAGGCGATCAGTGGCCCGTGTAGGTCTACTCCATTGTTCTTGATAATTTTTTTCAAGTGCTATTTTGAAGCCCACTACAGGGTGTCCCCAACTTGAGCATCGCCGATACGAACGAGGTTGAACTTTAAATTTACAATTTTTTATTTACATGATGATATATTTTTTTACAGGTCACTGACCCACATCGGGGCCTGGGGGGGCGATAATGTAATAATATTAATAATGATAATAATAATAATAATAGTAATAAAGAACCATAAAGAAATGCAAAAATGAAAAAAATCAAGAGTGAGAAACAATGTACCTTTATGCATGTTGTGTTGTCAATCGTAAGAGAAACAAGTGATACCCTGCAATTGTGTGTAAATGAGGCAGAAAGTCAGATCAGCAACCTGGGACTTGGTCACAATTTTTGTGATGACATATCTTCTTTGACTTTTCCATATTTTATTCACGGTTTCTGTGCTGGTTCATATTTATTTACTAAAGTGGTTAATGTTTTAAAGCAAATTCTATTGAAATATGAATGGCAAATGAACAAAAATGAATAGAGGGAATTAAATGAGGTAGGTTAGGGAAAGGTACTTTGAAAATGTATGTTTTATTTCCGTAGACTTTATGTACTATTAACCGACCTTTTGGATTATCCGTCAGCCCCTCCCCCCCATATGTGGTCGGTTAACCGAGGTTTTACTGTACTTTCATTAACTGTATTTTGCCATTCTATTTCTTCTTTTCTCTTAAATTAAGTGATTTTAGATGTATATAAGGACTTAGGCTATGCTATAGTGGGATTTTAAACATTGTTCTGTAAGAACGGTATGCACAAACATTTGTTCCGACTTACGCCCATAGCATGGACTGGTAGACTGTTTCATAGGTCGACTACTCTCTGTGTGAGAAAGTATTTTCTTATATTTGCTCTGCATGATAGCTTGGTGAGCTTGTGGTTATGCCCCCTTGTGTTGGTGAGGTATGACATTACAAAGAAATGTCCCAGGTTCACTTTTTCTTTTTTTGTACATGTACGATTGTGTGTGTAAACAACTGTAAAAAAATAAATAAAAGAAAATAAATTTCATATACTGTACAGTATATACCAGAAATTATGAGTAGAAAAATAACCATAACATAACATATAGTTCACAGGTGGAGAATGGTTGGAAATTTTCCCACTAGCTCTGGTAAATTACTTTGTTCTCATTTTAAATAATTCATTGCAGAACATAGCAGGTTTTGGGAACAGTCTTTATACCGGGAGGATTTAAATATGTTAATTGTTCAGGCAAAATGGACATCGAGTACTTGTTTTTTCTTGCTTTGTACAGGTTGTAGAACTGAGTAACTGAAGTTTTTGTACGTTTCTTAGCAGTTTACTATATTTATGGTACTTCTCCTTGTTCCTATAAAGCTTGGTGCACCTGTTGTAACCTTTTCAATAAGAAATTGACATATTGTATATAGATATTTGTACAGTACCAGTATGTAGATTTCTTCTACTTTTATAATTAGTTTCTTTTTTATGTTCCTAGATGCAAGGGGCCATTCAAGAAGCAGTTATCAACAGTAACCCAATGTTGTGGCTGTTTGACCCTGCACAAGTACAGTTCTTGAATATCAATATTCATCGTAACAACATTGTTGAAGACACTATCAACCAGTTGCTTCATCATGGAGTCACTGATTACAAAAGACCACTTAAGGTATATATTTTAGGTTGTAAAATTTAACTGCTCTAGTAATAAGGAAATATGGAAAATTTGCAGCTTTGTTTAATCATTTATTTTCATTTGAACACTGTTGATCTGATACAGTAAAAGTTTCCTGCTTGCCAATCTGAATACAGTATTTTGATTACAGACTAATTCCTAGCAGTTTTGTAGTAGGGATCACATGAGTAAAGGGGGTATTACATGCTTACTCTGAGAAAGATAATTGTAAATGATCACCAAAACAATCATACATTGGAGGTAGCTTGTGATTAGGAATTGGTTAATAATATGTGCTAAAGAAAATAATTTACAACAGTCATTGAATATTTGACAATTCTTTTTGGGTATGGTAAGAGTGTTGTATATTTAATAGCTTTATGAGTAATACATTAGCTTTTTTAACACAGCTTCAGTCCTCAGTGTCCTGTGTACTCTGTCATGAAAACTTCCATTGCAGCCAAAGTTTTGTAAAGTATAATCTGGTAGGATTTATAACGGGTATTGAAAATGTTTTTGAATGAAGCCTTTTGATTTTTAAGAATAAATACCCCGGTAGTGAACATTATTGACCATGCTAAGTAGACTTGGAATCTGGAATATGAACATAATTTAAATTTGAAAGCATCACTCTTGTAGGTGGACTTCAGCTCAGATGTAATTGTTGTATCTGTAGGTGTAGCTTTTTTTTGCACATTTCTATTTACAGCATTTGTTCTCAGGTGTGAATCCCTTGAGGTAATATTTCACAGCCTCTCCCCCTATCATTCTCGGTCTACCCCAAACTCTACTCCCCTCCAAATTCAAACTCATTCATCTCTTGGCTCAGTTGGTCTCCTCCATTCTCACCACATGCACAAATCATCTTGCTTTATAGGGATTTACAGAGATATTAACTCGCTCTAAGCAAATAATCTCGACTGAATAAGGTGGTTTTGGGTGGACTGACACTGGGAAGGGATGCAGTGGCTGAATCCGGCCGTTGTTCTATGTTCTTAGGTTGCCCAATGTAGCTTGCTGCTGTCATATTCATTTAATTTTTAATTTTTTTTTTATTTTAAGGAATTCACTGGGAAAATAGGGTCTTTTATACAGAAATTCGGTTCACACAGTCATAGTCAATATACTTTAGTTTTATTTGTGCATGGGTACATATCGTTTTGGTATGTTAAGATAGGCATTTAACATTTGCACCATTCGTAGCGCGGACTAAGTCACAATGGTGCTCAATTTCTGTCCACACAAGTTCTAACATCCCAGGGGTGATGGAGGCCACTGTGATGGGCTCTTTCAGCTGAACAATGTTGTGTGCTCACGATTTTATGCACAGTTGAATGTGGAATTTGCAGTTCGGTACTGGCACGGCAGGTGGATTTCCTTGGGTTTCTTTAATAATAATAATTAACGGTTTATTGAAAAAGTTCTGCAGCCCGAAGGCTGAAAATATACATTGGACATAAATGACTTATTACATTCATTGGGGGGGAACAAAAGCCTTTAGAGAAAGGTAAAGGAACAGACAGTGAACATACAAATTAGTGTTGACAGTGGAGGTCACGTAGGTCATGTGCCCTGAGGTGTTGAGCAGCAAACACATAGTGTAGTAACTCCCTCACAGATTGTGTTATGAGGTGCCTCACGTGGTGTAGTAATTCCCTCACAGATGGTGGAAGGCAGCATGTATGCATTCAACATCTTCCTCCAATGTTCTGGGAGTTCCTCCACCAGGCTGTTTTAGAACACTGCCAGTCTCCTCAAATTGCTTCATCCATGCATACAGGTCTCTTTAGGTCGGTGGTTCCTTGCCAAGCATTGTATGGAATTGTTGTTGTACCAAGGTAGGTGACTTAAATTTGGTCATCCATAACACACATTTCTCCTTTTCATGTGGGGTCATCATAATTCAATCTGAAAGACAAAAAACTTTGAGCACAGGAACTTACTGTAAGTATAAGGTGTGGTAACTGAAAGTTTCAACATTTATGCATAGAAATTTATAAGGCTTCAAAGTTGTTTCATTTCGAAAGCGGCAACGGCCAGTCCCCCCCCTCCTCCCACACCTCCAGCACATTTACACATAAAAGTCTCATCATTTACCTATTAGCTCTCAATAAGCCTATATCAAATCTGATTAGACCACTGTACAGTATCCACAATAAAGGCAGTACAGTGAGTTCTGCTATAACGCGTGTTTTGATAACGCGAATTTGCTCTAACGCGATTTATGAATTCGGAACAATATTTGTATAACGCGATCGCTTGTTTGCTATAACGCGATTTTTGCTTACTATTTCTCCAATTTTGTGGTATTAACTGTGAATATGGTAAAGAGGAATATCTCCAAAAAGCATTCTGATGATAGAATTCCCGGTGATTATCGTAAAAGAAAGGATATAACACTTGAAGAGAAGCTTGATGTTATCAACCTCAAAATCACCCTTCTCCCCCATCAAGTTACATTCATATTTTTTCAAGGTAAAGTGTTAAATTTACTGTATGATTTCATTATTAGATATGAATGTAACATTTATTTAGACTGTGCTATCCTTTGTGTTAGGCTAACTACTAAATTTTTTCGATTTCGAGTAATCTGCACCTAACCCTATTTTCTCCATAAGCCCTGTTATTTCTATTACGCGATTTTCTATAACACGATATTTTACAAGAACACAATTATCGCGTTATAGCAGAACTCTATTACAGTATATATTTTAATATTAAATAAAGTATAATATATTTTCTAAAAAATAAGTTTGATTCCTCTTATGTGTATTGTATTTTGCTTCCAGGTACGATTTATTGGTGAAGAGGCGGAGGATGCTGGAGGTGTGCGTAAGGAGTTCTTTCTTCTCCTTTTGCGTGAGATACTTAATCCAGACTATGGCATGTTCACAGAGAACCCAGAAACATACACCATTTGGTTCAAAGAAGGATCTCTGGAAGCTGCTGCTACATATAGTCTTATTGGTAGGTACAGTACAATATAGTAATGGAAAATATTGACTAGCACAGTAGACACTTGATATAGCTCGATTCTGTATTATGCAAGTGTTTTTCTTTTACCTATGATAATTATATGTAGATCTATAACTTGGAGTTACAGTACAGTAAAATGTTTCTTAACAAATAAAAGATTTGTAAAGAAAGCTGAGAGGCTAGTATGTACACCATAACAAACCTACCACCACCACCACCACACACTCGAACATCCAGACATACTTTTCACACCACAGCTGCATAACCACCACCACCACCACCACTCATTCATATCAGTAGACTCATGGAACATTTTATATTTTCCAGCTAGTCTATAATGATGAGTGAGATGTTGATAGAGGCAAAGAATGTGATGTGCCAATTTCTATAGCTTCTGCATTGCCAGGCACAAGCAATCAGATGATGTCTACAGCCTCAAATTTTTCATTATCAACAGGATGTTAAAATAAAACTGTTTTGAAAATGAAAACTTGCAGCAAGACACCACACACACACAAACATGCAGTCAGTCCTCACAACTGCATCACTCTACTACTCACTACCACCACAAAATTACGGCACTGATATTGGTGGTTATGGGTGATGTTGGTAGTGTTGGATGCAGTAGTGGTGATGTTGGTAGTGGTCGTTTCAGTAGTGGTAGTTATGGCGGTTCCAGGTGTTTGATTTTGTTTGTTCAAACAAGGAAAAGAGTCCTGTCAGTCACCTGATCTGAGACTCTTGAACTTGCGAATCCGAGACATAACACATTGTTGGGCATATAAATGGCACACTGGGTCGTGTGATGTCTCAGATTCACAACTTCATGAGTCTCAGGGTTCATGGATGGGATGGAAGAGGGTAAGGACTTTTTTCTGTGACTATACATATCATAAAGAAGATAATACACTTGCTGCAATAAAGATATAGGAATATGTGTACCTTTGTTTTATTAATTAAATTAACAGTTGGTAGTAATGACAACCCTGGACATTTCACCACCTCCTGAACTTAAAACATGAACTTATGTTTATAATAACAAAGTTTTCTCTCTGTAAAAATACATTAATTAGCAGCAATTTAATGGTAACAGCTGCTTTATGTTATCAACTTAAATCATATTAATTGGTTATTGCCAGATATAAATCATAATCAACAGTGAAAGTTATATGATAAATATGATTTAGTTGTATGAGAATTAAGCCAATATTAGTCACTAAACATTGAAGAACTCAAAATAAATTATGATGTGACCAAGATAAGCAATGGCCACTATATATGGAAATTCTATAATACTCTACTTTTTATATATAGGGAAATAATATATTCATCTATATCGCTCTTGCTTTGTTCAGTTCATCATTATGTTGAGGAATTGATAATTTGTTCCCTCCCCCCAAGCAAAGCCTGTGTACACTCTTGAACTTTGCACACCTTGATTTACACCTATCAGAAATTTCTTTGGTGACTTGATCCCTTGATCCTGACAGCCAATAGCGTGTGCTTCACGCCCACTTTAAAAATCTGGAGTGTTATTTACTATTTTCCAGTTTATTCAATACATTTTTTATATCATAATAACATAAAGGGAATAAACATTTCTTCATGTGTGATAGTCGGCACACTGAGTAGGGGAGGGGGTGAGAACTGAGGTAGCTCTGATTCTAGTGGGTTCACAGAAGCAGCACCCCAGCTAGGCTGCGTTGCTGTGGTGAGCGTCAAGGTGAGAGCCAGCATTCCTGAGACTGCGACATATTGTGTACATTAACTTAATCGTTTCTGCTTTTTTATGCTTTTATTAGTGCTATTCACATTCTTTTGTTATTGCTGCTTATATGCCTATTATTTAAGTTTTGTTGTTACAGTGTAGTTAAAGCTTATTTTAGGGGTGAATCTAATGAAATTTATAAATAGTGGTTGGTAACTGGTAGCAAATCAGTTTCAGGATTGGTAACCCTGTTCATAGCATCAGGTGTAATGGTGGTAACCAAGGTGAAGGTGCATTGGTGAGAGTCTGATGTTTTGCTGTAAAATATGTCTAGGATTATACCTGTTATTTCTCAAAAACTAGCAAAAACTAGGGCCAAATTATACATGAAGTGTATGAATTTTTTTTTCCCCCAAATCAGGGATCAGATTATATAAGAGATAGGCTTACCCGGTATACATGAATATATACAGTAACCCCGTGCATGGGAGGGGTGATTTTATTAATAAGGCAGTGTACAAGGGGTGGTAACAGACTTTTTTCTCTTAACTTTTGTATACACTTCTGTTCTTGTCAGTAAATAATGAATAGCAATTCTGTGCTAATAAAAGACACTTCTATGGAGAGTATTAGACCAATCAGGTTCTGTGTTAGTGATGATTTATTTTTGTTTCAGGGATTGTGTGTGGACTTGCCATTTACAATTTCACCATCATAAATCTTCCTTTCCCTCTGGCACTCTACAAAAAGTTACTTGGTCAGCCGGTTGGCCTTGATGATCTTGCAGACATGGATCCAGTTCTTACAAGGTACAGGATTGCAGTTTATATTGTACTTGATTTGTTGATTAATGCACAATGCAATTCTTAATTTATATGTTAGTTAACATGATCTGAAAAAATTATTTCTCATTTAGATTTGTCTCAAAACTGACTTAATTATGGGTAATATTGACTGAAGTTTGAATTTCTTGACAAAATTATAATGGTTAACATAATTTTCAGGTCACTATATGAGTTGCTGGAGCACGAAGGCAATGATGTAGAGGATATCTACTACTTAAACTTTGCCACCACACAGGATTTCTTTGGTAAAACTGAAACCATTCCACTCAAGCCAGATGGAGAGAACATTCCTGTTACTTCACAAAACAAGTAAGATTTTCTTTTCAAAAGAGTGAATGAGCACAGGTCTTCCCCAAAGGTTCCCTCTGTAGGTTCGTAAGAAAAGGAAAAGCTTCCCCGAAACATTTTAAAATGCCACAAAATATAGTGATTGTAGGAGAAATGTTGACACAGAAAGCTTATTTGTCGACATAATTGCATTGCAAATGTTACAGAATAATGAAGTAAGTTTTTGAGGTAAACAAACTTACTGGTAATAAAAGAAAATGGCATTATTTTTAGAGGTGTTGGGGGTACAGCAGTAACATGTGTATCACTCACCAATATGTTAAGGGTGTGAGTCCTGTTTGGCCCAGACACATGTGAGATGAGTGTTATCCAGTGTGACCCTACCAAACATCACAGGTTTCCTTCAGGCATTCCTGTTTCCTCCTGTACTAACACTGGATAGACCAACCTCCCAAACAGTTGATAAGTGGTGAAATTATACCGAATATACTGTACTCCAGTACTGTATTGTTTCAGTATTGTATAGTTTGAGTTTTTATTGTCAAGTTATTGTGCAAAAATTAGGGGGTCAAAGTATACTGTACACACACAGTATTTTTTAGGGTTTAAAATTCATGCATATTTGTGGGTCATTTACGGTAAACGATAGCTACCTGGTACCCAGTACAGTACTGTTTAACCTCATGGTAGGCCAAATGGCCAGCATTCCTAAGACTGCAATGCAGTGTGTACTTTAACTTTTATGTTTTTTTGTGTTTTAATGCTTTCATGATTACTATTTACTGTATATGCTTTTATTAATAATGATTATCCCTTAAGCCCTGGGTTAGGGTGTTGCTGGCAGTGCCCCCCCCCCTGCGGGGATAAATAAAAAATCAACCTTAACAAAATAAATAAATAAATAAAAATGGAGGGAATAGGCTGTCGTTCTGGAACGTCACCCAGGGCATTCTGGTCGGATGTTCTGAAATGTCACCCAGGGCCTAAGGGTTATATGCCTACAATTTAAGTTTTAATCTTATAGTGTACAGGTAAAGCTACTTTTAGGGGTGAATCTAGCAAAATTTTAAATAAAGAGTTCCTAACTTTGGCAGGCATTCAGTTGCAGAATTGGTAACACTGTTCATAGTGTCCGCTGTTGTGGTGTGGTAGTGATCAAGTTCATTGGTGAGAATCTGGTGTCTTGCAAAAAAAAAATTTCTTTTTTAATTAGGGGTCAGATTATACTGTACAGTATATGAATTGTGTATGTGTGTGGGCTCTTCTCCATAGGGTGGTGTTGTACATCTAGTGTGGCAACATTATGGTACTGTTACGGTGCATGCACTGCTTGCTACCTCTCGCTTTCAGCTACTGCTGCTGGCTAGCCCTCATGGTGAACAGAGAAGCAGCCTTGCATAAGTCTTCTCCTGCCAGTACACAGCCTCTCCACCATCAAGACTCCTGCTGTGTTTCCTCGTGGCAACACATGGTAACTGGGTGCTTCACGGCCCCAGGTTAGATCAGCAGGGGATCTTGGAGCAGCAATGAGCCCCAGAGGTACGGTGCATAACCCCACCGGCATGTGAACACACTCTGGCACCTACCAACCTTTACCCCGCTGCCTTGCAGATTAATCTTGAAAGGTGTAAGGCTATGGGAGTAAGCCCAACAAAAAACTGTGGTGAAGCCCTGCATCAGACAAACATGCTTACAGAGCTCCAGCAAAACCCCAATGACGGTAATAGGTGGAAGGGGTGACCAACATGGGAGCTTAACAACTACGCCGGCGGATGAAGGCAATGCATGTTGGACAGGCTACTATTAGGCGAAACCCAACGAACTGGGCTTTCAACAGTCCATTGCAACTCTTCCTCTCCCCAGTTGTTACAGCTACCCGCACCACTGGATCAGGAAAAGGGAGAGTCAAAGTGTGTGGGTTGCAGCCAGTGCTCCTGCCTCATCACATAAATCAGCTCACACACACAGCTATCATCCAGCTCATCATACTTTCCATCATCATCATAACCCCTAAACCCCCAAAAGTCCTATGGTGACAGACAAGTGGCGACGGGGACAGGCACAGATGACTGCCAGGAGTCTCTGCACAGCATAGATAAGATGGTCGTTTATGCATTGGGATCTAAGCAACAGTGCAATCCGGTCCTGTCTGTGTGATAATGTAGCCCTTTCCAGGAACCATTCTGCTTACCCCACATGGAGAGGGGGCTAAAAAAGGTGTCCTAAACATAACATACCTAAAAAAAGTAACCTGACTGGGCAACCGCACCCAGTTAGGTCATCCCAATACAGTTGAAAACATTGTGGCCTTTTCTAATTTCCATAAATGTGCCTCTTTATTATTACATAGTAGTGGTGTTTTAAAATTCATATATTAATATTTAAACTTTCTCCCACCCAAGACAGGAGTATGTTGATCTTCTTGTAGACTACAAGTTGAACAAGAGCATAGAGACCCAGTACAAGGCATTTCATGACGGGTTTTACCGTGTGTGTGGATGTATAGTACTCGAGCTCTTCCAGCCAATGGAATTGATGTCCCTTGTCATTGGTAATGAAAACTACAATTGGATAGAGCTGGAGAAGAATACGGAATACAAGGTTTGTATATTTGCATATTCTGTCCAGTGTTTATAATCCAGTATACATTATATGGAATTTCCCACTTAATTTACAGGTGACTCCATAGAGAATCATGTGCAATATGTGCAGATATCATGGTCACTCAGTGTGAAAACTTGATGTCAGTTTTCAAGATACAGGCAGTGACCGTTATACGATGGATCAATATGCCAGGGATGTAATTAACATAATCAATCCAAATAAGCTCGATCAGTTTTACGATGTTAAAAAAATTAACACCATTAACCTCTATGCAATAGCTAAAGATTAGTTTTCCTATGATCGCTACCCGAATGCTTTTCCTGCATTGTCACTGCATGAAAAAGTGATGTGCAATAACTTGCAATACCCCAAAATATGATGACGCAATCTCTAAATGGAATAAAACGTGCGACCCACGTGGGATTGGTAAGAGGTTCTGTCCTTCCCCAGTAACTGCCAGATGAAGCAATTGAACGTGTCACGTAGCCCAGAGGATAGTTTACTTGTGGAAGAAGCTATTCTTTGTACATAAAATAATATATACTGTACCAGTAAATTTGAGGAATAAATAAAAATAATAATAATAATAATAATAAAAAATACTGCATTGCCATTTGGCAATCTTGTCACTAGCACGAGACAGAGCCATGAGAGAACACCACTCCCTCCCTCTCTTGTGCTAGCTCCCACACATCTAATAAATGTTTAATCCTTTCTTATTTTCCCCTTATGACTATTACTATTTATTTATTTATTTTATTTTATTTTATTTTTTGGACATTCTGTATGATTTATTGTGTGTGCATGTAACAGTAAAAAAAAAAAAAGAAGACAATTACGTTTGTCGTAGTCGCTCTTTAATAAGTCCTGCGCACATAAGAAATGGCTTCCTTTATGTTTTGACCTTATAATAATAGTTTATTTATTTTTTAACATTCTGTATGAAAGATTGTGTATGCATGTAACAAAGTTTAAAAAAAAAATATTTGTTTTTTGTATGTTTACCTGAAATTACTTGTAGTGACAGCTGGAGAGTTACAACTTACTACTGCACACATACATATCATGTAAGGTGAATGAAATAAATCTTTATTTTGTATAAATTTATTGTTTTGTCTTTATTGTATAAATTTATTGATTTTATGTCTGTTTATAAATTCTTCGAGCTTACACATTATTTAATCATTAGTATATATAGCACCAGGATATACTTGTTTGGGCTCTTGAGGGGCTCAGGAGCAGAACCTATTTTTCCCCATCAAATTTTCTTCCATAGGGTCCTTATGATGTTTGTTTGAATTACATGAAGTAAGGGTAGAAATGGGTCTGGGCGGTGCAGTATTTTTTTGTTTAATTGCTTTCTTTTAATATTTTTATTTTATATTTTTTGCAGGGTGAATATTATGCAGATCACACAGTCGTCAAGATGTTCTGGGAAGTGTTCTCCGATATGTCACTTGATCAGAAGAAAAAATTTCTTGTTTTTTTAACTGGCACTGATCGGGTACCTATTTTGGGCATGAAGGTAAGACTAACATTGAGGGTTTTTGTATGTTTTTCATGATATACACTATACTCTCTCTTAACCAGAATAGATGAATATCATGGGTGTGTTATGCAGCTAACAGATTTTTTAAGTTTATGGATATCGCATATTTTTTCCCCTCAACAATAGTTAACCTGTTGCCTGCATCAAGCTTAAAATATAATGTACTATTATATATGTCTGTGTATGGCAGTATTTAGGAAATTTGAATCAAAATCTTGCAAATCAATACAGTTTTCCTTCCTGACTACAAAAAAAAATACCTGTATATATATATATATATATACCGTATATATAATCAACGACCTCACCAGCCAGGAATTGAACCCTCGACCTACTGGGTGGGACTAGGGAACGCTACCGACCACAAGTGTCCTTGTGGGTTGGTCGGTAGCGTTCCCTAGTCCCACTGGTAACCTTACCATAAAAAGAAAAACATTACGTATTGGCATTATTTACCTAGTTTCCTGGATATACCACTGTAGCCTTTGCAAATCCAGAAACTGTTTATATTGAGGATCTACAGTCTTCAGAAAGTTATAAGGAAGATGTTGATCTTACACCAGGTGCTGTCTGGGCTACAACCAAGTACCAACCAAAGCACTATTAATTTGAATTGATACTTTCAAAAGTACAGCAACATGGTGAGATGATGTACGAACTATTAAGTTGTTGATGGATATTATAAGCTATCATTTCAGGGGTGGATTGGGGGGGGGGGGGGGTCCTGGGGGTCCGTACTTCCCCCTTTTCATCAGAAAATTCCTGATTCAAATACTTTTTCTTTAATACCAGAATTGTACTCAGGCAATTTCGTAAAGTAGAAAATAATTACTATTAACCTCAAAATATCTTCTAATATTAAGTGCACATGGGCTCAAAATGACCTAAAAATTACCTTGACATTGGCCCCCCAGCTGGGTGGACTCATCATGTTTCCCCACTCACAACTTCTTGCTCCCCCCCTTGATATTCCTGGATCCGCCCCTGCATTTATTAGAATTTCAGATAAACAAGGTCGTGTTGTATCTACCATTTACACGAAAATGGTTGTAATCTTCCTTTGTGAATATTGTATGTACAATCAGACCATACCGGCAAAAATATTCTGTACAAAATTCTTGTATCTAGCTTTACATTTGTAGCCCTGCTTTCCTTATATAGGAATATATGGAGCTGCCAGTGACACTGTTACTGTCACTTGTCATAATGCAATTTCCTTTTTTGATTACTGTAACTCCAAGAATACAAATCAAATATATATTGTAAACAAGTACAGTACTGCAATAGCATATCCTGAGAACATTGTGGACTTGTTGAATCATTAGTTTGAGGAACTCGTATTACAGTGTGTGTTTATTATTATAGCCGTACAGTATTGTTACTGTTTTCATATTTTGATTATTGGTCACCTTATTAAACAACAAATATAAAATGCTTGGTGAATGTTTAAATAAATAGCATTAAATGTTGATGTGATTTTGGTGACATAAAATGAAAATAATTGAAATGATATTTCAGGGAGCTGATGACTATTGCGCATCTTTAGTTGCCAAGCAGTTTTTTTGGACCTACTTTTAGTCCATTTAAAAATGAAAAATCAAAGAAACAAAAAAAAATTTTGTGACAGATCTTCAATCATTTCTTGGATAGGAAGACAATATTCAGATACCAATTATATTTAATTAATATTTTGTGTAAGCACTTCCAGTCTCGATCTCACTATTTAGCCTACGAGACATAATTATATACCACCAAATCTCCAGTCAAGTCCCGTCCAACCGGGCTTCCAAGTTGTTCCCAGGAGTGCAGTGCACTTCCAGTGATGTTAGCTTCGTTACATTGGATGTTATGGGTTCCCATCTTCTAGGTTATTGCTGCCTACAGAAGATAATTCCAGTTTTGCTAAATTTGAAAAGTGAAATTTGCCCTATTTGGAGTTGAACTCCTTATATGTTTTGAAATATGATTAAAATATTTTGAAAAACAAGTATAAGGAAAATGATGTCACAGTCACGCTTACCAACCCTGTTTAGATGACAGGAAAGGTATTATTACCCATGGGTAGATCTGACTGTACTGACTAATGTAATAATATACATAAATTATTATGAATTAACTGTACCATAGACTAAGATAATTTTTGATGTTTCTTCTTTTCCAGACTGTGAAGATGATTATACAGTCTACAGCTGATGATTCCTTCCTCCCAGTTGCCCACACATGCATTTCTCAGCTGGACTTGCCTAAGTACAGCACAAAGGAGAAGCTACGATTTAAGCTATTGCAAGCTATACAGCAGAGTGAAGGCTTTGGCCTTGTGTAGCTGCAGTTCATCGGTAAGAATCCTTATTGTGAAAGGTGCTCCTCTACTTAACGTTCAACTTACAAACTTTCAGAGATACAAACATCATCACTGAAGGGGGGTTTACCTGCCAGAACAGGTGTTTGATGTGGACGAGACTGGATTATTTTGAAGAAATTCCAGAGAGAACAAACATTACCTAAGAGGAGACGAGTGAGCCAGGTTTTAAGGCTGTATTAAATGGTATAGCTGCACTAAATATCCGTAATCTTTTCATTTTTTACAATATGTTCGGTATCTAAAAGAGTAAAGTTTGACTTACAAACGAGCCTCAGGAACGTAACTCGTTCGTAAGTAGAGGAGCACCTGTACAGTAAACCCCTTCAATAACGGATCTCAATACTGGGTATTCCCAGTGCAGGAATACCTCGCTATTCGCAATCCCGCTTATCCTCAATTTATATTTCAACTCTACTATTTGATATTTGTAAAGCATATCCTGCTTATTTGCAAATGAAAAATTACGATAATCCTACAGTATTATTTCAAACCAGGCAGGCTAACTGCAGCTCTCATTCCGATGTGAGACCAGTTTCACACGAGCTTTTTTCCCCCCACTCCTGTACCTGTACTTCCAAACCGCAGCGTGAAAAAATACACTGAGCATTATAGAATTCTTCAAATGGCAATGGTAAATGCTAGTTTAAATGTTTACACTCATTTGCAAATGTCATACACACACACACACATACACTCTCACTCAATTACATAGTTTCTTTTGTGTTGTTTTTATGTTATTGTAATTATTTTTATTGCATTTTATGGAGTGTACTTGTATATCAAATAATACATTGGTATTAAATGAGAAATATGAACAACATAGGTTTGTATGTGTGTGAAATGGATATACAAAAAAAATATAAAAGAAATGATTATCATTATGTCAAATACATAGAGAATAAATATTTCTAACCTCCGCGGGAGTAAGTGTGCAGATTGTGGGAGAGGTGGAGCGGGAGAGAGGTGCGATGTCGGAGATCTTGGCCTCCGTCTACTGGGCCTAGCTGCATTAGTGTTGTTTTTCAGTTTGTAATTTTGGGAGGAGGGAGTAGTGTAGGAGATCTCGGCCGCTCTAGTCTCCCGTGTGTAATGAAACTATTGTACAGGTACACTATTGCCAATTTGTTCGTATTTTTATTTTACTTATTAATGTAAGTTTTATTTATTCCTCACATTCACTGATAATACAGTGTGCATGCGACCCTGGTCCCTAATAGTCGCAGATAATGATTATATATAAAAAAGAAAGAGTGAAAGTTGCCTGCTGGAAACTCATCCCCTCCTATTTACACTAATTTTTATGGGAAAATTGCTCCAATATTCACAAATTCGTTATTCACAATGACTTTTAGGTACATGTCACTTGCCATAAACAGGTATTCCTGTAATGGATGTCATTTTGTCCGGCATAATTAGCAGACTCGGCCAGTAAGATCCGTTATTAGAAATATTGACATTGTCCTCTATTGACTTCATGTTAACCACGTGGTCAGTTGATGCAAGTTGGAGCTTGCTAGACGGAGTGCACCCGACAGTGTTTACAGGATGATGGCAAATGACTCAGTTGGCCTAAATAAATGTTAAACTGTTAAACACACTTACACTTCCTCCAAACCCATTTTATTAAACTATATAATATAATTTGTAGACTACGTACAATATTTTAAATACAAATTCATAATATATATATGACATTATTTGTTTCTCTTTGACAGTATCTTACCTGTATGTACATACAGCTGCACCAGCCTACACAAATTAAGGCACCTTAATATTTTTTCTAATCATAATCTGATAAAAAAAATTATATTCTCTAAATTTCTAAATCATTTTCAAAGCAAACAAATCAGATATTGAGATAATTTAATCTAAATCTATACAATACAGGTGTGTTTTTTCTTGGACACTTAACTTACTTTAGTTAAATATTATAATATTTCCTCTAAGCACTCCTGTGTAGAGGCTAGCTGGGATGGTAAATGATGTGTGGAGAGAATGGATGAGACCAATTAGGTCAAGTGAGGGATGAACCTACAGTAAATGTGGAGGTGAGGAGAGTTATGAGTAGGCCAAGAATTACTTCGGGAAAGTTTGTAAGAAATAACATTAAAGTTAGGAGCCTAACAAAAAGAGGCTGCAAGAGACTGTGCAGCATGGAGAGCTGCCATCAGTTAACCAAATAATCCACACAAGTGTAGAAAATGGCTATAAAATGATGACACAGGTATATGTATTGAATATATTAATTTATAATTTTTAATAAACTGTGCTTAGAGGAAATATTAGTGTGTTTTGCTCACTGTATTTTTTGGCATCATTCTGTAAACATTGTCACTGAGATTTTTGTGTGTTTTATCCCTAATATCTCTGTGTTATGTTGCTATCTTTATGCTAGGCTAGTATAAAGAAAAAAGTGTAAGTTCTGTACTGAACTACAGTACTGTACCATAATTAAGGTAAGTTGAATTTTTACATACTGTAATGTAAAATTTTTATTAACCATGTATGTACTGTAAGATGTGCTTTTTGATGGTAGGCAATGCAGGAAAAAGGAGTTCCTCCTAATAACAGACACGGCTTACATGGATGAGTCTATATTCATTATTTAGATATTATATTACTGAAAATTCAATATATGTTTAGGATACATGTCATTAGACTGGTAAGGCTGAAGTTGCTGCTGCCACTGCTGCTGCCGCCGCTACTGCTGCTGCTGCTGCTGCTGCCGCTGCTGTTGCCACCGCTGCTGCTGCCCCTGCTGCTGCTGGAAGTGTCGAGAGACCACTGAAGTTTATTCCTGTCGATAGCTGCAGGGAGACATGAACTGGCTCCCTTGTTATTAGACATCTCACTGAGACGATGAAGAAGGAGGCTAGTGGAGCAACGAGTTCCTGCTTTTGTACACAATTGTCTAAGAGACAACCTAGGTTATAAACAAATTAGGTCATTTCCCCTTTAGCCAGAATAATACATGCGAAGCAGTTTGAGGCTCGAGAGATTTCCAGGTATGGAAAAGAATTTTCTCATCTCCATAAAAAATCACACATCCCCAGAATATTTCCAGGTACAGTACTGGGGAAAGTTTTCTGAGTGTTAACTACACATCTCACATACAGATACAGAGATGCATTAATTTATACAAACACCGCTGTACATATACAATATATTGTAGGTAAACAAATTATTTTACTGTATACACTAAACTGTATTTGCCAAAAGATGCTGTCATCTTGAGCTTGTAATGCAGGCAGGCCAAATGGTGCTATGATGATGCGAGATGGCCTGCCTTTTTCATGTACCACCTCCTGTAGCAGGTGTTGCTAACTGTCACTCTCCTCTCCCTCCACGAAGGAGGAATTGTACATGCACTACATTCTGTCCATAGGCCCTCTGCACATTAGCATACACTGTCCTTTCTTTGCATATGGTATAGTTCAGGTATTGTTTGGTGAAGGAACAGGCAACTTTGTTAGGCTTTGACGAGTGTTATCCGTGGAACCTAACCCCCTATTTCCCATAAACCTTTAGTCTTGCCAACCATGGGATTTTATAGGAACCTAACCTCCATGGTTAGCAAGAGACTATTGTACTTAGAGATTTTTTTGCAACTGACTCCTCAATGGTACCACTTTTTAGGAACTGCAGAGTAGAGTTGGGAGAGTGTTTTGTCTTTTCTGGACTGTTCCTCTCACACAAGTGATGGGGTTCTGGGACTCCTGGGGTATGAACCCTCAAGGTTGTCGATATAATACATGAGTTGCATGATCCATACTTAGTTATAAGACTCAGTTATAAGGCAGGATTTCAGGATTGTTGCCTCATTTATGGGTAAGTGGAATAGATAAATGACCTGGAGACCCTCCTTCCCCTCCTGGCTAGATTCTTTTTCAATCGGAAAAATTTGCAGATTGGTGACTGCAACCCAAGTTTGTAACTGAGAGGTTTGAGGCTAACAAATTAGTCCTGGGATTTATCACAATGCACTTTTTTCGCTCATTGGCTTTTTGAAGCACAGCTGGAGTGGGTTTGGAGTTTTGCTTCTTAAACTGGGTTGGATCTCAATGGATGGTGTCCTTCCTTCAAGAATGCAGTTATCCCTTTGACAAAGTAGGCTTTGTCAGGGGGTGTTCTGCCGAGTAACCTTTCAAGTCCATTGTTTCTTCTCCCTGATCACAAAATGAGGTTTCATTCTTTAATCTTTTAGTTTTTATAATGTTCAAGGCAAATAACACTTGAATAATCCAGTAAATTACAGAGTTTCTTCTGTATTGCTTGTACAGTAATAAACTATTTTGCACTTTCAGATGAGTACCAACACTATTTGCATTTCTTCTTGGATCTACCACATACAAGATTCAAGAAATCAGATTTATTTTCCAGATGTATATTCACTTATGCCTTCTGGTTACTTCTTTGTGCTTACTTATATTGTGATTAAAATGTTGATCACAATGGAAGTGATGCCAAAACTGATGTTGTTAAACGGCAGACTTCTCATTATCATTTTCATAAATATTACAGTATGTGCAGTGATTGTCTGACTCATATTATATTGCCCCTTTAGACACTGAACATAGACAAGCGTGTGCAGAATCATGTTCATGAATTTTTGGTTGTTGCCCTATTCTGTAATTATTAGTCTTCCAGAATCAGTGGCAGCCAGTGGTAGCTCTCAGAGTACAGTATTTATTGAAATCTTTGATATGATGATTTACTTCCTTACATTTGCATTATTAAACTTATAAAAATATAGGGTTTTAAATACCTGTACAGGGTCCGTCGATTAATGAACGGTCCAATTAATGAAATTTCGGTTAACGAATTAGCTCCCATGAGGATTTTCAATTCCATTAATGAACAAAACGTTGATTAACGAAAGCCTTACGAGAAACACGCTTTGTTGTGCGCACCTGCTGATTGGCTAGTCCGCTAATATAGTAATTGGTTCTGTTTACATTTGTTTCCAGTGGAGTAAATATCAAGAAAGTTGTTTTCTTGAATATTTTTGTATTTTTTATATTAAAATTATTGGTCATTCTAATTTAGTTAACATATGGATAATATATACAGTACAAGGAACAGTTTTTGTGTGCCAATCAGCTGATTGAATCACCCACCAACGCTTCTCAGTTCAACTTTGTTTACAGTGGAGTGAACATCCAGTTTGTTGGTCTCTTGAATATTTTTTACATTAAAATTATTGGTTATTCTGAAATTTAGTTCACTTATTGATAATATACAGTGCAGAAATTATTATGAAACATGAAGAATTCATTACGAACCAATGCTCTCTTGTAAAGAATATGGCATGTCATCATCGACTGCCTCTACAATCAGCTGCCGGGAATACTACATACACACCTCAAAGTAAGTTAAAATATAGTATTCTATTGTTGTTTTTTATTGTTATACTGTATAGTATACTGTACAGTACAGTACTGTATTTAGTTTATATTTAATGTTTTGTTAATTCTATTACCGGTATACAGTACTTTCTATGTACTTTTCTGTGAGTTGGAACCAGTTACCCAATATCCCATTGAAATAATAGATTCAGTTAAAAAAAATTTCGGTTAACGAACGACTCTGTGGAGCCAATTGTGTTCGTTAATCGAGGGACCACTGTATATGGATAAGAATTGGCAAAGAAATATGTATTCATAGAAGAAAAAGGGCCTTTAAAAAGCTAATGAAAAATATCTCCCTTGGAAAGTAGGTGTGTGTTTGTGGAGTGGGTGGGGAGAGGGGCAGAGGAGTATTAGTGGAAGACATCATGTTCCTCTTGGCAGCCATTTTACCGGTGATGACTAACATATGTAGAATTTATGTATGCACCCTGCACATAGAAGTTGTATGCTGTGTGTGTCTGTTGTGTCTTGAAGATAAGGTGAAGTACGTATTAAGAAAATTCAATACAAGTGCAGTAGGTCAGTTTGACTTAATTGGCAAGCTATTGTGTGCCTTTATATTAATGTTACTATTATGTCATAGAGTATATTTTGCTTTACAGTCACGAATCTATTCATTTAATGGGATCATTCAAATGTATTGGTTTAGATTAAGGTTTTAATGGAGACTAAAATTCTGGCTTGTGATATTCAATAAATTTGTTTACTCTAAATTTCCCTGGTTTTCATTAACACCAAAATTCTGAATAAGATTTGCGAAGGTGTTGTAAGGTTAATCTCCACCATGTGTTAACTTCAGCATGCTAAGACTTCAACTTTCCAATTTCTTTTTTTATCTTGGAATTAAATGATTACTCGGCATATGAATAACACCGTACCAAAATTTAATAAAGTACAGTACAGGAAATGTTTTTGTTTTCATAAATTTTTGCTTTAATCAAAATGTTCATTCTTTTTATGCTGTTCAGTAATCTCTCTGTTAGCTGAAATCTTCAATCCCTGGAACTCTCCAATAGCTGTTTTTGTTTTGTTTTTAGTGTTCCGAGGTATTCTGAGAAAAATATCTCCCATTCCGTGTATCCGAATGAATTTCCTGGGATTGTATCATGAGTGTTTCCAAAAATTCCAAGAAAAATCTCTCCATTCCTGGCATTAAAACCAATTTCAGAGAGATTGCATCATGTTTCCGAAGTGATGACATGTTCTGGGCACATGGGTAGATATGTTCAGAGTGCTCGTGAGCTATTATTGACCACTTCTGTCGTGTGACTGCATGGGATGCCAATGATTAACTGATGTATCTCGCAGCCTATCACCTCGGACTTTTGCATCATGACACTAGTAGTTCATTGTTTGCAGTCATTGTACAGTCTCACCCAAAAGTTCGTTAACTCTCCCAGCTAGCTATTACTGCACTGCCTGCTTCAGGGAGTATGGTATGTGATGTAAGTTGCTCATCAGAGAGGGAGGGATTGAAGAAATCAAGGAAGTTATGAAAGAGGAAGGGAATGATGGATGTAATATTTTTTCACTATCTTAGGTTTACATGCTTGACTAAGAGTAATACCCTGTAGATGGGGACGTTTATCTAATGATTTTATAATTTGCCATCCATTTCCATATTTAAATTTTTTGGGGATTTTGTTCAGGCTTTAAGCTATAGTAATTACAAGTAAAAACGTTTCTATGAGGAGAAATATTGAATATGAGGGTGAAAATCACATATATTTTTAATATTTACCTTCACAGGTAATTCAGAATCTCAATAGCCCGTCTTATGTCCTCACCTGTCATTTGTGGTCTTCCTGGCCTAAGATGATATAATTTATATGCGTTCAGAGTTCAAGTATGTTTGGTTTACATTACGTACACACCCAAAATTAGTCATTTTAATACAGTGGTACAGTATATCAAATGTCAGCAAACCATAAAAAATACTCACGACAGCCAGTGTCCCAAGTTCTCAGTCTCCTCCCAGCAGGTTAACCAATGTTTCACAATGATCCCAACCCCTCTTGCAGTTTCTGACATACAGGTGTAGTAGCCAGTCGTGCGCAAACCGATAATTTGCCCTCAACTCTCCAACTGACATATTTAACACCAATCCTGTGTTGGGTGTGTAGCTGTGGCCAAACACCATTGCCACTACCACCTCATCCTCTCACATTGATTTTCACAACTCTAGTACAGTGACCCCTCGTTTAACGAACACCTCGGTTAACGTAATTTCGATTAACGAACTGCCTTCCATAAGGATCTTCAATTCGGTTAACGAAAAAAAATTCGGTTAACGAAGTTCTTACGAACCGACCTCAACATGTTTTTGCTTGCACTGACCGGGCAACCAGCTTTAGTATCAGTCCGCCAATACATTAATCGGTTCTAGGGCTTAAATTCCTTAATATTTTAGTAAATATCAAGAAGTTTATACTATTCAATAATTTTAAAAGTTTAATATTCAATTTTTTAGTCATTTTAACAATTATTGAACATAATTGAAGGTCAAGTGACTAGTTTAATGCGCGGCATCCAGCCTCTTAACATAGCAAACAGGAGTTAGTCTTTCTCTGTTTTCACTGGAGGTAATATCTTGCTTGAGACTCTCTTCAACTAAACGCTTTTTTTCTGTATTTCCAAGCAAATTATTGGTCATTTTGAAATATATTTTACATATTGACAATATATAATGCAGTGCAGTGTTGATTTAAAGAAAATAATCTTGAATTACACCAAGAGAGCTAAAATTTTATGGGTGAAATGGCACCATGGGGTGACTTCTCTTCCACCCCAATGCCTTCTCTTCTTCCTTCTCCTCCACCCCCATTCTAAATCCCATCATCATCATCCAGGAGCCTTCTACGTACACACCTCAAAGTAAGTGAACTTTTCTACCATTTTTGTTGAATTTAGGAAATTTTCGGTGAGCTGGTACCAATTACCCAAAAACCCATTGAAACAATGGTTTCGGTTAACGAACTTTTTGGTTAACGAACAACCTTCTGGAACAGATTGAGTTCGTTAACGGAGGGGTCAATGTAATCATATTACAGTACAGGGTGGACAGTTCATTATTATTTTTTTATCAATTAATAGTGATTTTTTTCAAGAATGGTAGTGGCGAGAGATGAAATTGATCAAGTACTGTAACACCCTCATTTAGTGTTACTGGTAGTGAGCAAGTCACGCCCCCTCCTCTCTTATGTTGTCATATCAGGGTCTTTCCGTCACGGAAGCCAGAAGCCTTATCAACCTTAATGACACATTACCTGCCAAAAGCTCACTCGCATTCCTCCTCAGAATCTCAAATAAAGGTATAGATAGGTAAGGGAAAGTTTGGGCTTTAGGCCTATCACTTGCCAAGGTCATTAAGGCCATCAACGTCAAATTCCATCCACTAACCTTAACACCTTCCTTCTTTCGGTGTTAAGGATAATTCTCAGACCACGTACACTCTCACCATGTATGTTGTCCTTGATATGCGCCCTCCTACCTTACCCAGGTCTGCGACCCCTAGCTCTCTTCCCATCAACACCTCCCCACCCACTTGTGACCCATCGTGTGGAAAGGCCTTGAGCTCATGGGTATGGGAGAAGGATGGGTGGATGATTAATTTTGACCGTAACTGTACTGTAGTGCACTACAGACGTAGTGAAGGGCATTTGATAGGGTGCAATAACAGGTAGTGCAGTGGGCAATAATAAAGTTCGGGATTGAGGAGTGTCTTTTATGAATGGTTATTGTATTGTATGAAGGATTGAGGACCTCTTTGAGAGTAAATGGCAAGGAATTTGAGGTGAACATAAGGGTTCATCAAGGATCTGTCCTAAGGCTCCTTTTGTTTATCAAGGTGTTACAGGCACTACCATTAATTAGATTTTAGGACTGGTCGATATAAAAGAGTACTGTACTGAAGAGGTAGTGGAAAAATTTAAGATATGGAAAGATGAAATTGAGTCAAAGGATATAAGAGTGAACACGGCAAAAACAAAAATAATGATTAGTGACGTGGATGAAGTACTTATGGTGGAAAATGGTTGTGTTGTCTGTTAGCAGTAATTCAGTAATGTGCAGTGAGTGTGAGTTAGGTACACAAGAGGTGCAGTGGTGTAAATGGCAGACTACAGGATGCTGACAAATTTAACTGTGCTATATCTCCAGATACTTTTTACTTTTACTTTTATCCTCTTCACCACTGATCGGCTCGTTAGCTGCTTGGGCGATCGGTCACGTCTCTGTTACGCACTGTTGGCAAGTACTGGGCATGCACCGGCTCCTGAATGTATTTGAACCTGCTCCATTATTGGTCAAGTCTAGCTTTGAAACAGCTCACACTCGGTGCCGTCACAACACTCTGGCAGGTTGTTCCAAGAGTTCATAATTCTCACTCCCCCCAAAAATTGCCCTCACGGTTTTCTGGACTTGCAGCTTCTTCAACCTTGAGCTGTGACCCCTTGTGGGGCAGGTGTCTGCCAGCTCCAGGTATGGACACTCGACTGAGTAGTACCCTTTGAGATGTTTATACACCTCAATTAGGTCACCCCTTGCTCGTCTGTAGTATAAGTTAAGCAGTTGCAGGCACTCTAATCTCTCTGGATAGCTGAGGCGCCGAAGTGCAGGCACCAGTCTGGTGGCCCTCCTTTGGACATTTTCAATCAACTGACAGTCCCTAGCATATCTCGGGGACCAGACGGGATGACAATACTCCAGGTGGGGAAGATCGTTACAAGGTCTAGATATCTGAACGACCTTCTTATAAGACCTAATAGTTTAGTTGCTTGGTTCATCTTCTCACAAGGGCCCGAGAACTTCAGTTCATTGTCAACATACACCCAGGTCCTTTTTGCATTCAGTCTCTATTAATGCAGTGTCTTCTTCCCGTTGGGACATATGATACGCCTCCTTACCATTGGTACGACCCAGGTGCTTCCTCTTACACTTCGTGACATTGAGTCTTAGCAGCCATTTCTTCAACTACTCTTGAAACTCACCGAGATCTTTCTGCAGCTCTTCACAGTCTGTTTTGTTCTTAATTTCCCAAAATAACTTGGCATCGTCTGCACATTTTTATGGTGGAGTGTATAACTTCTGGCATGTCATTTGTGAAACAAACAAAAAACGAGCCCAACACACTGCCCTGTGGTACCCCACTTGTTATGGGTACACATGACGATTTCGTACCATCAAACATCAGACACACTTCTTGTGATCATGCAGAAAGTCTCCGATCCATGCAAGGACAATTCCCCAAATCCCGTACCCTTCCAGTTTAATTCTCAGCCTTTCATGGGGTTTGCTGTCGAAAGCCTAGGCAAAATCTAGGTATATATTGTCAATATTGCCACAGGAGTGGTCAAAGGAATGGTTGTAAAGATTCAGTGTCACGAAATACAAGAGAATGTACCTAGGTCGTACCAACAGTTAGGAGGCATATCACATGTCAGGGGCGGATCTAGGGATATCAGAAGGAGGTCAATATCACGAGCATTTTGAGGGCCAATTTGAAGCCATGTGCACTTGATATTAAGAGATTCTGAGGTCAATAGTAATTACTTTTTACTATACAAAAACACCTGAGTCAATACCACATTAAAGAAAAGGTACAGGGGGGTATTGGAATTTTCTTATGAAAATGGGGGTCTGGACCCCAGGACCCCCCTCCCCTGGATCTGCCCCTGCATGTCCCAACGGGCCAAATTTTCTTCACGTCACACCTAGCTTTTTTCTTGTTTTTTTTATGCATGAAGACTGTACTTGACTTTGTTAAAAGAATAACATAAGCATAATCTACAACTAAAGTTACAACAACCTATAAATTCTACGATACGTCTACTATAATTTAATGGGTTGGAATGAATACGTTACAATTCGATGGGTATGTGATTGTAGATTTCATTTTTAATGCATCAATATAACACTACAACGTGCTGTGCTGGAATAGCCTATGGTAGCTGACATTTTATAGATAGTACAGTGGCTAAATATACATTCGTTTGAGTTTCAGAGGATAACCACCACTGTCAGGTAAATTACTACAGTTCAGGCAGCATGTGCGATGCAATAGACTACAGTATGTTAGTCTAAAATTAATGAGGATGGACGGTTGCCTCAAAGAGTTTGCGTACATGTGGTAGAGTTGCAATACTAAAATTATGAACAAGGAGTATAGAGGAAAGAAATTTAACTCACCTTAAAACGAATTATTATTTTCTTCGTGGCCGCTGATTGACACGCCATATATTGAGGGTGTGACATCATAGAAAACTGTTTGATATTACTTGGGTAACTATTTCAAGTGTGTTTAATTTGTGCCGCATCCTAGAAACTCGTGTGACATAAAAGAATGCAGAATAATATATAAAATAATACAATAGCCATGTTTTTTTTCTTCATATATTGTCTTCTAAAGCATTTTTTATTATTCATAATCTCATATTTATGATTATTATTAAATTTGAATATCAATTACGTATTCAACTTGCATTTTCTTTAATAGTATTCATTATTTGGAATTAAATTTAACACACACACACACACACACATATATATATATTTTTTTATTCTAAGCGAAACTACGTCTACGATTCATTTCTACCAATCAACTCCTTAGTTACATCAAGACTATACTACGAATTCAATTCAAAGTTTACTCTAGTAATGGGACGTGCTACAAGTACATAAACGTCATCATAGGGAACTCTTTAAGGCAACTGTATCGCTACAAAGCCAACAGATTTACGGGCCTATGCCCTAGACATGCTTAGAGGATTCCTCAAGTTACTTTCTTCAGCATAATCTTCAAGACTCGATCACATTTGAAATGCTTCAGAATTTTGACCAAGATCAGGTTAACAGCATAATACTATTCGGTCCTTTTTTAACGTGTGTTGTATCAGAGTATTATAATTATATTGTGCTTAAAACTTAGACCACGGCTACAGTAGAACAGTTTAACAGTAGAGAAGTAGCATTTTGGTGAGAAATTTGACGTCACAACTTCATGTCTGTAACTCAAGGAAGAGAACTTTTGCATTTGCTCACATCACAACGTTGTTTCTTATGATATTACACAACGTATCAAGGCGTATGTTTTTATCATTAGGATGATCCATTGATTAATTATGACTCCATAAGTTCACACCACCTGCAGGTCCCAATTGTTTGCCTTCACGCGGTCATTAAGGTCATTTACATCTTTATCATCGAGGTCCCAAGCATCCAGATGGCCGAGAAATTTTAAGCGAGGACAATTAGCACACAGGATGTTGGCCGAGTCGATGGTCAGGACACAGTTAAGTTGGTTATAAAGGTTGTGTTTGTACTGACATTCGGCCGTGAAACTTTCAAGGTTAGGAAGTAGTGTTGCTACGCTGCTGATAAGATCATCTCTAAATTCATCCACCGTGTAGTTCCTGTCGTCTGAGAGCGTGATGGAGATATTGACTAGGTTGGGGGCGCCCATAACCAGGTTTCTGAAGGCATTGTACTCAATAAAGCTGGAGCGGACAAGAGTGAATGACTGGAGAGAAGGAAGCCTCAGGGAGGAGCCCTCGTGTTCCTGCCCAACTTGAAAGGTCGGATGACGAAGGGTGAGGTCTCGGAGCTGTACTCTACTTCGGCTTAGGGAAAAAAGCAAAGGCCAGGCGATCTGGAACTCCAGGTTGATATCGAGTGTTTCCAGGTACTTGAAGCGTCGAACATTAAGATGGAAATCGGTCTGTGCAATTTTCAACGATTTGACATTAAGGAAACTTTCTGTAACAGGCCTTGTTATCCCCTGCGATGCGATGAGTTCAATACTATTCAGCTGTGGTAGAAGACCTTTTAAATATGACAAATCTGGCATTGGTCGCCTGTTGTAGGTATCAATATCACTTAGATGTTTTAAGAACAGTTTCTGGGGAGGGTATTGCTGATTCTTCAACTTGCCGAGACTAACTAACATTGGGGCGCCGGAGATAACTTCTAGTTCCCTCAAAGAGCAAAGTGCACTTGCCACGTGTGTTGCCAGACTGCCATCTTCATCGTCCAGCCTTGGCAACACCAGTGTCTGGAGATGAGGACAACCTCCAGGCTTGTTACCTGAAAAGTCTCCAGGAGCCCGGTCATACAGGGCGCCAAGGGAGTTCATCAATAATCTCTCCTGTCGGGCAAAGGCTGGGTCTTCCTTCACGTCGTTCATGGCGGCAGTGGCATCACACTCACATGCTAGCTCTAAGCGGCGAAGGCTTTTGCAATGGCGACCAATTATCCTGATCACTTCTCCTGACACCAAATGCGGCCACTGGATTGACGTCAGATTATCCAACTTCTGAGCGTTCTGTCCAAAGATTTTGATTAGCATGTTTTCTACTTTGACGGTGTCAATTTCATTGGTTTCCTTTGGGTTACGGTTATTGAGCTTGCACGTGGATACCCACTTGATGCTATGGTGAATAAGAGGAGTTAGATCCAACTTGGTCACCACAGGGTCGAGGAGGGTATCCAGGGCATAACTAAGCGCCTGTCCAAGCTTCTGAACTGTCACACCAAAACTCGAATCCTTGTTCTTTTTGGTCCTGCCCAATCTCGTCATCATTTCAGTCACCAGAAACAATACTTGATGCATCAAGTCCTGTCGACGGTCCTTTGGTAAGCCGTGGCCTATGTACTGTTGGATTTTGAGGACCAGAGTGCCTGGGTGGCTGGCTAGGATGCCATCTGTAAGTCTTGTCACCTATTGGGATTAAGTAAAGTTAACTCATATTAAAGTTACATCAAGGTAAAATGATATTACATCTCTTAAGCACTAGTTGTACCAAGTGTGTGAGGGTGAGCTTCATATATCACCGTAATATTGTCTGGGACACTAAGTTGTTATAAAAGGATTGTATGTTAAAACTAAAGAATTAGTGAGGTATTTTTTCATCTGATAAAGTAGCCATGTTCTTGAGAGGTTGAATCTTAAAGCCTTATTCTGGATCTCATTATTGTACTTGTTTTGAAAGTTTAAATTTGTTCTTATTAAATGTACAAGCTATTGAGGTGTTTAAATGGCTTTGATTATCTCACAGGTCTTTTGGTAGTTCTTGTATTCTTGGATCGCCCTACTAGACGTTTGGCCGCCCCACATAGGCCGCCTCCTACCACTCTGACAAAGGCGGCGGCTAAAGTCGCGGCCATGGCCTCAGTACATAAGGTCTTCAGGGTAACGATGGGCTTTAGGGGCGGCATGACTCCAGCTGCAGGGTAGAAAATGATAGTTAGAAGGATAGTATCAGATAAATATGCAGTTGAATGTAAAAGGCTTTCACCTTTTTGTGCTGATAATAATGGTAACACTCGATCAATTTAAAACAAAACTTTCCAATCCTGCATTAAGGTTTGTAATTCTGTTTGGAAACAATTGGTTAAGTGGAAGTATAATTCACGGTTGATGATAGTTAACAACAGGTAACATCACCTTATGGGGCCGTATTAGGCTGGAGCGCTGGCTGGTGAAGTCACATTGTTTTGTTGATGTAGTGCAACACTTAGTAAGTGGCAAACTTTTTGAGAATTAGATCCACTTAAATTTTCTTATATTTGCTCTTTTCTGAAGTGTTTCATGAGCCAAAACTTACAATACCGTTATGTGTATTACAGTGACGGATCCAGGGAGCCAAAGGGACACGTGACACCCCCTCCCTCCCTCTACGACAATGCAAACAGATTAATCTTCTAAATGTTATGTTGCATAATCAGACACAAATCCTCGGGTCTTGTTAAGTCAGCTAAAAGACCAGCAACGACCTGCGTGGCCGGTCACACTGTTCCGGTACACAGTTCACGCCAATGCCGACCTTGGATTGTGACATGTTGGACTCTTCAGGTCAGAGGCGTGTTAACATGATCAGTGCCGACGCAGGTCAGGTCACATAGCACACGCCTGATGTCAGCATGTTGCTACACTTTTGGGAGTGTCTTCATAAGGTGAGAAACACCCGAGCTATTTTTGTATTTTGTGTTCAACAGTTGAGTATTTTGTGTTCATCAGTTGAGTATTTTGTGTTCCTCAGTTGGGTATTTTGTGTTCAACAGTTGGGTTTTTCCACTTATGATTTCTTTTGTAATATCAGACCTCATGGATATTTCATTATAAATTCTGAATGATTCCTTTAAGAGTTCTACTGATTTAGATTCCGAACTATAAGTGTAATGATTCTCTTATCTTACTTTATTAATTGGTCGATTAGGTCAGTGATTAAGTTTATTCCATTTTCCTATTCAGAATCTTTGTTGTGGTCACTGAATCCTGACAGTGCGTGGTCGGGGTCAGCCTCTCAAGAAACATCATATTGTGAACTTGTGGATTTTCTTATTTGGAAGACTTCAGACCATAAGGTACGACATAAGTTAATTTTGCAAAAAATTAATAAATAATACTTTGTGCTTTTTAAAATGATTATCGTCTTAATGATTATGTTCAGAGGCGTTTTGAATATTTAATTTACTTCTGCATTTTGCTTAGGGGACCGTTATTACTGAACACTTATTGCTTATTGATATTCGAATGATGTTCCAAAAATTTTCAAATTAAAATATTCATTAGTTTGTACTGGTGAAGGTTGGCTACGATAAGGTGATAACTGTTTCGTTCAACAAACTTTTTAAATCGAAATTCAGGAACATCGCCATCTGATGACTGATGACCTAACTATTGTCTTAGGTTCGCCACTTTTAACTTATCTAATATGCATGAAAGCTTGGCGGACATTACTAAAAAGTTCTCTCATCATCATCTCGGGGATAATGTCTTTCGTGAGATACTGCATTATTGCAATATTATTAACAATGCAGTGGCCAGTGTATTAATGTTTCTGCTATATGATGTTGCAGACACTTAAGATTAAATCTAAAAAAGTAAAGTAAAAGTTAGGTGATGTAAGCTGTCTGGGAGAGAAGTGAGGAACATCCTTCCAGTCCTGTGGTTCATAACTGACTGAATTCTATGAAATTGGCTGTACATTACTTATAGGTTGGCGGTCAGCGTTCACAGTGCAAGTTTGTGACTGGCCTATTACAATTAGCTGTTTATTCAAAATGACTGGCCAGCGAGACTTTTTTTTTTAATCATTGCCATGATTTGAACTCCTTCCAAGTCATGTATTGGTATGTAAAAAAAAATCACGTTCGTAATACAGTAACGTCAAAATAATGTAAGTAGTATGAAATATCCATACATCACCCTCGCACCATACGTTCCCTACACCATAACTCGTGCAAATGGGTGGGAAAAAAATCATCGTAAGTCACTGATTTTTCCATTTCTAACAAAACTTGACACACAGGAGAAGAAACTGTTGCATGCCTTGTCACTCACTCCTGAATTGACATAAAATCTAGGGATAATACCCAGAAGTTAATCCTCAGAAAGTACTTTGAATGAGGACGAAGTGATTGATTAAACTTGGTTGAATATGAGTTAATTTATTTAATGGTATAACCCCAAGCATTTAGGACGTGTCAAACCTACACTCTTAATCTATTTACACATACATGCATATGCAGACACAAAGCACGGACCTAAGCAAATATATTTACACATGTAACTTAAGATTAACTGTAGTCTATGGCGTATTATTTAGGGATTAAGTTAGTTTGTTAGTTACATGGTTAGGGAGGGAGGGATGGGCTTGTGGGGGTAGGGAGTTGGTGGGTTGGCGAGGGGTAAAACAACAACGAACAACAACAACTACATATGCAGTACAAATGAATAAGTTCATTCACTGTCTCTTGGTTGAAGCACAACAGTAAGCTCACACACGATTCTTTCTTTTATTTTGTGAACATAGATAAGATGCGTTACTTGGCATGGAAAATTAGTTTCAGTGTATTGATCTGACCTAGTTACTGTTGGAGGCGATGACGTCTTTCTGGTGGGGAGGCAGACGATGCAGCACACAGGCTAATTATATCGATCATTATACTCATCATACTACATTATTCATACACCAAGTTCTCATGGTTTAGACACTCCTACACGTACCCTTAACGCTATTAAAGCAAACACAATGACATAAACTAGAAAGGGTAGGAATATTGTTTACTCCACTTCAGAACTGCACCACCACTCAGGATTGACCCCACAGTGTATAAATAAGTCAGTAAAAAAGAACCAGTACATGACATCACTTATAATAATCAACGTAAAACTGGTGATAATCCAGGTAACTCATTGACCAGGTATTGATGTATCACTTACCGGTAATAGTCTTCGTTTGCGATAATTACCGGGATCACAAGCACCGCCTGGAGCCCCAGTCAACACTCCAGCTACCGGTGTTGTCGGTCCTGGAAGCGTCCCCCGTCGCCTTGGTTACCGGATGTTATTGTTGTTGATACGATCTCTAGTTCCTCGTGCGCCTAGCCGTGTTGTCCGTGACTTAACCTAAACTAAAATACGTCACGTATTTTAGTTTAGGTTAAGTTATTCAATGAAGAAGAGATTGGTTTTGTTGTGTATGGTATTAACTTACTATGGCCGAATATACTGTAGTTAGTTATAGCCTTAATAAGTGTAATTAGGCTCGGGTTCCAGACTTGTACTATAGTTTGGGGAAACTAATGACGACCTTGTGGATATTAAAGACCACCTCGTGTGTGTGTGTGTGTGTGCAAATCCTTGGAGTCACGTAGTGTGTTTAGATGAATAAAACTAGAGCACTTGTCCTTATAAATTATAGTCAGTCAACGGTAAAATAATACATTATTTGAACTTTTTTTTCGATTTTTTTTCCAGATAGATGTTAAATAAAACTTGTAACAAATATCGCGGTAAAAATGCCAGATGCTTCTTGATGAAAATATAATAGATATCGAAACAAAATCCTGCCTGGTAACATCTATTCGAATATTGATATAATGTTACCAGAATTAATTTTAGCAGCAGCGAATATGTAGTTGAGGGATTCTCGTTATTCTGCTGATGACTTAAATCCTTGATACTATGTTCGAGAGGCGGATGGATACACTAGTAAAGCTAAAATTAATGAAGAATATACTATTATGTTTAAGCAGAGAGCAACAAAAGCAGTATGGAATAATTTGATTCACGTATATCACTTTTTATGTGAGTTTAAAGAAAAAATAATTAGTTCTGCAGGAAAAATACTTCTGTATGGGTATACTTATTATAAAGCTAACCGATTTATTTTATTTTTTTATTTAACTTAAAAATATGGATGTCTATGAAATACTCTTAGTACAAAAAAAAAACTGTGGCTAACTTTCCTGCAAGCACTTTGATGACGTAGTGTATTTGTTTCCTTGCAAAAAAAATACGGTGGATAAAATTCTTCCTGCAAGAAAAAACGTGTGATTGACGTTATTTTTTGCTGGATAGATATATAAACAGACACCTAGGCTACACATATAATATAAAGTGACATTATTTATCACAACATAACGTCAGAATTCTCGGCAGTTTGGTTAGGTTAGGTTAGGTTACCTTGACTGTCTCGTATTTCTCTGTATTGCGTCATTCTGTCACTCCCGCGATCCCGACTCTTCCTCACCGTAACAGTCGCACTTAAACTCCACTCTATCGTAACTTTCTTTCACTCTCCCTTACTCTCCCTCCGTTCCTCACTCACGACTCTTACTCTTCCTCCCTCACTCACGACTCTAACGCCCGTATTATTAAACATCTTCCCTTGAAGAGGGTCGTCGTGTTTCAACCCGAGTCTTAAACTAAATGAGTCCTGAGGGACACCGCAGTACAGTAGTAGTACTTAACGGGGTGGTGTGGCGGTAAAATGAACTAATTCCAATAAAATTAATTTATAGTATTGGAATTTGTTAATTTTACCGCCACACCACCCCGTTAAGCACTGTACTGCGGTGTCCCTCAGGACTCGTTCAGTTTAAAACTCGGGTTGAAACACGATGACCCTTTTCAATGGAAAATTGTGTTTAATAATACGGGCGTTACTCTCCCTTCCTCACTCACACGACTCCTTACAGCAACTATCTTACACCAATTATATGTTTCTTTCACTCGTTACATCAACTCTCACTCTATCTATCCTTAACTTTCTTTCACTTTCACGGTGTTTAGGAGACAACCACACTCACGGGATCAACTCACACGTCATACATTAGTCTTCACGTTACTTTACTCCCTCATAAATATGTCAAAAGACGAGGCCGCACCTAAGGGAACCAGCTTATCCTATACTGTGTTGTGACATGGAAGGACAGCTGCCTCCACCACGGACGTTTAAGGTTGACTCAGTTAACTTTTAGTGTATGTGAAGTAGGTGCAGTTAATTTAGATTTGGGTGGATTAAATTTTGGTTAACCTACAGTATGTTAGATTAGTTCGGTTAGGTTAGATTATGTTAGTTATGTTTGGTTAAGATAGGCTAGCTAGGTTTGAGTCAATATAAAGGTTCTTAGCACGGGTACGAAATTACCACGATACTCTGCTTGGAACCCGCGTGTGTTTGAAGACGTTTATATAATGTCTAAAGGCTTCAATACTAAATCAATGTCATGGGTTATTTATTTAAATATAAGAACATAAGAACATAAGAAAATAATGAGTCTGCAATAGGCCGGTTGGCCTGTGCATGGCAGCTCCTGTCGAGAGTTACTACCACTCTCTATCATCCATGAATCTATCTAGCCTCCTTTTGAAACTTTCCAGAGTTCCCGCACTTAGTACAAAGTTGCTAAGCTTGTTCCACTCGTCCACCACCCTATTTGTGAACCAGTTCCTTCCTATCTCCCTCCTAAACCTAAACTTATCCAACTTGAATCCGTTGCTCCGAGTCATAACCTGCTCGGATATTATAAGAACTTTATCTATATCCCCTTTATTGATTCCTTTCACCCACTTAAATACTTCTATCATATCTCCCCGCACTCTTCGTCTTTCTAGGGAATGCAAGTTAAGTTTCTTTAGCCTATCCTGATATGGAAGGTTTCTAAGTCCCGGAATCATTTTTGTCATTCTACGCTGCACCGACTTTAGTGAATTTATATCCATTCTATAAAAGGGGCACCAGAACTGAACCGCATAATCGAGGTGCGGCCTGACTAGCGCAAGATATAGCTGCAATAAGACCTCTGCACTCTTGTTACTTACACTTCTAGATATAAAACCCAATACTCTGTTTGCCTTATTTCGAATATTAACGCACTTTTTTCTAGGTGGTTTCATAATTATTTTTTGTCGCTTTTAGTAGCCACGATAGGAGTATATAGTTAAGGATATAGATATAATTGGGAATGTGTAATTTAAAGGAAATTTTCAAACTGGGCTCTACATTTCACAGCACATTCGAGTGTGAATATGTAAACTGCCGTACACACTGTTGCAATAATGTCAATTATCCATTAAATAATTGTTCGTTATTATCATTTGTTGTTGAAAGTTGTAAAAACATTATTTTTTTTTATTTAACCCGAAAAAAAAACATTTGTAGAAAATCTTTGTATGTAACCCTATAAGGCAGGACTTTGGACCATCGGGTCTGTATTTCCCTGTAATAAACACCAGGGGTCTTGGTGGCACCATTGTCTCAAGCAGTGATGCAATGTTGTAAAAAAATATGCAAGAGATATGAAGATAAATAGAAAAAAGGAGATGGGAGAGTATTAAAAAGGTCAACATCACATCCCTTGCATGGAGGTGAGGCCAGCCTTAAGTGTGTCAGGCGGGCGGGCGTTTGTTGTGGTTGTGGCGGCCCGCAACACCTCCCGCCAAAACGGACCTCTTGTACTACTTGATCGATGAAACCTTGATGTTTGTGACGCCAGGCGCTTGTAGTGACACTTGTTGCTAGGGCCAAGGGAAGCAAGGAGGGAGACGAAAAGAAGGAAAAAGAATGTGAATATGGGGGTGGAGATGGAATGAAGGAATAAGAGAACAAACGTGAATACAGGAGAGTGATGGGTGTACTGATATCATATATATAACAATAACCATCTTCAAAAACTAGGCCAGGGTAGTAGTAGCAGAAGAACCTTGTAGTTATTCGTTAGAAGAACCTTACCGGAATATTTCTTTATCATTCTACTTAGACATCATTAAAATTGACTTGGATTTATCAACATTTCTGCACATTGAGGTATACAGTATGAGGCAATAGTGTAATGACCCCCAAGAAGTTCCTCCAATGAGCCCCATGATGCTAAGGTTTTCACCCAATCAGGTCTTCGCTCTGTCCTGGAGCAGTATCCATGTACGATCATATTGCCGCTGTCGTCACCGAGCATCGTGTTACAGGGCTTCAAGCTTCTCTTTATACCTTCCTCAAGTACTGTGTCCTCATGTGCCTCGCCTCGGAGGTTAGCTCATAAATTACTCAAGAAGACAAGCACGAATTCCGCAAAGTCCGCCTGTTGGTGCTGCAATACTTCTGCGCTTCAACTTGCACAGGATGTTAAGGGGATGCCCAATAACTAGGCCACACACAGCTTGGGGCAAATATGAAATCTGAATCTGAATCATTAGTGGAATCCTTCGTGCGTATGTTATTGTGGAATAATTATTTAAGATATCTTGCAGTGAGATTAAAACTGGAATTTCAGTTATCCTCGTACACAAGAAAACAGTTTTATTGCAACAGATAGGTTAAGCCATTATAGTAAAGGTAAAAATTTGTTCTGTTGTTACCCTGGAGTTGTATTAAGGAGTTAGTCACCACGAAAAGGGAAAGTGGGATCTATAGGCCTGATGACCTGTGAGGGGATATGTGATGCTAGCACACTGAATATATGCCTCCCATACAGTGTGGCTTCCTCAATTCTCTGATTAGGTATCCAATCACAGAGGGTGGATTAGAGGTGCCCCGTGTACAAACTAGTGACCCTTTTGACAAGAAGTGAGCGCTAGTCCACTCGACCACAAAACCCTGCAGTGAAAGAGGATAACCCATTACTGACAGGCTTAATTCATTACCAAGGCATTTCAGGGGGGCTAAGTTGCACCAAGGGGGTAATGCCTTTGTCGATGGATTCATTTGTAGATATATAGAGGTAGTCATTGACATATAGTGGTTAAGTTGTATTGATACTGCTCCTGTTATGACTGCTGCTGCAAATAATTAAACTGCACTTGACCAAGGTGTTAGTTCACACTGAAGGTTCCCATTTTGAGGCCAAAACATAGCAGCTGTTATGGTGAATATACAAGCCAAGTATGAACATTGTAGCTCATTCTGTTCTTGGGTTATGCTGTGGAATGACTTACTCTTTAGTTAAATGAGTTCAGGAGGCACTGACCACCCCGCTCACACGATTCTAAGTCATAATGATAATAATTATAATAATGTGGACTAACTAG